TATCTAGTAATTTATTTTTTATGGTGTGATATACAATTTAAAAAGTTTTTTATCTGACAAGATAATATATTGGAATTGGCAAAATTACTGAAAACTGTTCAAACATATACACATATGTATTTCAATATATTTTTAGCATTTTGGAGCTAAAAATCAATTTTTTTGCAAATTCGTCCATTTTTCTATAATTACAATATATTATACCTATATAGCCCGAATTATTTTTGTATTCGAAGCATAATTAAGATAATGATGCTTCTCGTTAAAAATGCTCTTCAACTATCTGTACTGCAATCTTTCGTAAATGTCAGTGATAAAACTCGAGTTGTCAAACAACACATATACGCACGCAGACAGTTTACATGTCAGTTGATGAGAAGCTATGTAACGAGAGGCAGACGACATGATCGATAATAACCGGAGGGTTTTGCGAAGGTCTGCTCGTTGCAGACGACACATTGACAACATTGACATTTTATCGTATAAAGCGGCTGGAGTGGTTTATTTTTTTTAAGGTTACTCTCTTACGCGTGATATAATCGATTGAATGAATTTTACAAACAATCGTAAATGAAAAATCTGGTTCGAAAAATAAGAATGGAATTGGAAAAATATTGTAGAAATGTGAATATATAGCGAGCGAAAGTTTTATCTACATCTTAAATAAAATCTACAATGTATATTGACATTATAACACGACATTAAATTCTTGAACAATTATATATTTATGAAAGTAAAAGTTTTATACTCTCTGTTAGAGTAAAAAATGTGTACATTAATTCCACAAGAAAAATTTTCCGAGCTGCTTTAAAAAGTTGCTGTAATTGCTATAACTTTTATATATAGGTTTTTTTTCGTTAAAATATATTAAAAAGATAAGAAACGGATGTAATTTTGTAGATTTATCGAGACTTCAACAGGTAGATCGTAAATTAATAATCCCGTTTTCATAAGTGTTTTAAAGACGCGAAAAAAGAATTTGGTGACAATTTATTTGCTGTCTACACATGTTATACAAGTGAGAATAATTGTCCTCCAAGGTATATTAAAGTAAAATCGATTTGTACGATGATTACGTTTTGAATAATAATTCGCGCTATTGAAATTTGCCATTAAACGCGTCTGTGAATCAAGAACGTCAACATTGCTGTAATTGCGAAACAATTGTGGCATGCATTTTTCACGTGTCGTTATAGCGTGTCGATTTCGAAATGCCGATGCGGTTGTGTCCCAGACCGAATTTCCCTAGGTCAGAAATTAAATCGTGTACTAACAATGTGATGTAATGTATTACGGCATATTAAATTTGTCATGCAGGTGCAAATCGATTGATAATTACACTTTTAACGAGCTCTTTACCGGGAAACTGAACTGTGATTCTCTCTCTAAAATTAATTTTCCTCTCCACTTAGCTTTTTGTATTAATTTCAAGAAATAATACTCATTATTCATTATCAAATATTGTCAAAATGGTATAAAAATTAAATGATATAAAATTTGGAGAATTTAAATAAATATATAAATAATTTTATATCATACAACAGAGATGAAAAGATTTTATATTGCTAGATAAAATTTCACGTTTTAAAATCGCGGTTAATTAAATTTTATTACAATTTATACATATACAAGGCAATTTTTTCTCGATTATATATACGTTCGTGTGCGGGTGTAGTCGACTTTTCCGCGTATCCGTGAAGGCGAGAAAGGATATAAAAGACGCCATATATGTACGTTTCTCTATGTTCTGTTTGTCCATGTCTGATTTCATCGTAAGTACCTCTTCTGAGACGCGCGTCGCGTTCCGTTCAGGTTTATCATTCGTGGAAAGTGCGTGACGTACTTGGCGAGAGAATTTTTGAGGTGAGCCTTATCGATTGTTTCGAAAGCCGATGTTAAACAAGGCGCAGGACCTCGTGTAATCTCCGTACACAATGCTCCTCACGAACGATACGTGACTGCAATCGTGCGAGACGCATGTAATAATTATTTCCATCGAGTCATTGTCTTGTCATTTTTCTATTTTACATTTATCCAATGTCATTTGAAAGGTTATTCTTTTATTCCTTTTTTTTATTTCTGTATATTAACTATGCAGGGTGTTAAAAAATTAGACCGACAAACTTGGAAGGGAGAAATAAGAAGACTTCAGAATAAACATTCTTCATTAATACATTATTTTTCTACAACTTTTATAGTTTTACTACTACATGGTATGAGATGAGTTTGTAATTTTTCTGTAAAAAGAGGAAATAATTTTTGTGTACCTATATTTGATCTGTATTTTCTTCAAGATTAAATTACAATTTTATTTTTCCACTTATATGTCTGTTTATTGTTTAAATCACAAGCTTCTATTTTATGTCATGTATATATGTACACGGAGAGTATTTTCTCTTGTTATAGAATTAATCGTGGAACAATATGGTATATTGGAAAAATTTTATCAGGGTTTCTCTGATTAATATTTGCCACAATAAAAAATATTAATATGTACATAATAAATTTTACTATTGAACATATTTTAATTTTTATGGTGGTAAATATTAATCAGAGAAACTCTTATAAAATTCTTCTGATATCTCTAAATAGTATTAAAAAAAAATGTCTCCTCTATTTCCCTTCAAAATTTGTCAGTTAAAATCTTAATCTTTAATTAATATACATCGAGAAGGATTTAAACGAAAAGATTGCTGTTGCTTTATCGTCACGTTTACGAGTTATTAAGGTAATTAAGATAACACGAATGTGCAAGTTCTTTCTACGATACATCAAACTTGCAAATTTCGCGATAGCGCTTTTTATCAGATTACTGGATAAACGAAGCAAGAAACCGTCAGCGGGTCGTATTGGTCCCTCGTGGCCGCTCCCATATGTCAAGAATTAAGGACGATATTTGCAGAACGATTACGCTAACGTCGCGATATCAGCCGTATCTCAACGTCATAGTATTCTGTCATGCGTGCTCTATGCAAATACCGACTTCATGCGAATGTCATTGATGCCACGGTCTTTACAGAAGTTCCCGCGAACAAGTCGAGCGTTGCCTAACATTTGCAGCGAATAATAATAATGCATTGTTGCGAGATTAAATGCGGCAGAAGCGCAAGCGTCGGAATTAATCCCTTTTCCAGCCGAAATCTTCAGAGAGTCACGAATCACGTCGCTTTTCGGCTGTAAAGACGGCAAAGCGGGCGAGCAATATAATTTGCATAAAACTCTTTAGTATAACCTGAAGTTCTCCAGACGCAGCGATTAAAAATTTTGCATACTGCATGTAAATAGGGATTGCGTAATCAAGAAATGCGGTACCGTTTTTCGTTCGCATGTATGTGTGTGTTAACATAACAATTGGACAATCAAACAAATAATCGGAAGAGACTCAAGTATATTATTTACCGGTAAAAGGAGACTTTTTGAATAAGAGAGAAAGGAACAGAGATAATTGATCGTGGTTAATGTTTTTGAAAATAATCGTGAGAAACGGATATAAGATGACATTTCAATAGCGTAATTAAGTCAAGAAACGCGTGAGAAAAATTCAGGGTTGTTATGATTTAAAAAATTAAGAATAATTTATGTATTTGCGGATCTTTTATATTTTTCGCGCACAGCTGTTTCATATTACGTATTTTATGTACACTAAAAAAATTTATTAAATTCGAATAAATATTTATTTCAATATATTGCCTAATACGTCATTTATTTGAAATAATATTGATCTGATATGAAAAATATTTACTTGTTTCAAATAATAAATGCTTTATTAGATAGTATTGAAAAAAAAATTAATTTTATAATTTTTTTCAGTTTATATATAAATGTTATCGTCAGACTTTTCTGGTCACGTATATTATTTATATACCATGAGTTTTATATGAATCTTTAAAATAATACCAGCATTCTCTCCCCGAAGGATTTATTGGATACATTTTCTAAAAGTACTTTGTGTTATTAAAATCACAAAAGCTGAGAATTTATCTTATATATTATTTTGTAAAACCCAAAGCAGAATTTTCATTTGAAAATAATCTTTGCAATATATTACTAGTTCATTTTCGGCGAGTTTAAATTTCACAGTGCTATAAATATGAATAAATGCGAATTATATACAATATATGATGATATATTATTTCTGAGAAAAGATAAAGGATAAACCTGAAAATTTTAGGACTTTGTTTCAACATGTTTCCAAATCAGTTTACGATCAAAAGAAATCGACGAGCAAAAAAAAAAATAATTTTGTGACTATCAGAAATCTACATATTCTATATTGTTTAAAACTAATTCGACTATGTTGAAACAAATCCTTGATTTCCTCTAAATTTCAGATAAGAAGTTCCGTTGTTTTTGATTCTCAAATTTTCTGTTAATACTACGACATTAAAACGCCAAATAAAAAATAAAGAACAAAATTGTAATATAAAGAACGAAATTGAGTTTCAGAAAAATGAATAAATCTAAAGGACAGCTACTTCAAATAAAGGACTGTCCTCTAAAATAAATGACGGATGATCACCGTAATCTCATCTGCCATTTTATTGAAATTATTCAATCAATATCTTTTTTGCATCGTTTAGGATCTCTCAATATTATATCGATAAAAATAAATTAGCGAAATACTATCGAGCAATAAATAATTTTTGCCGGAAGTAATATCGTGAGGAAACAGTCGAGTGAAATTCGTTCGAGACAAAAAGTCTCGAAAATGACATACTTCTAGAATTCCGTACACTTGAATGACATTTGACAGTATCATATATAAATTCACTCTGGAATAATTTGTTTTTTTCCCAGATAGTAATAAGAAATCTCGAGATAAATAAAAATATGCCCGATCGGAAAGCTTTCCGACCAGTTTCACAATAGACACCCTGGAGAGGAATTTCGTCACGAACATAAACAATACAACATCGAGAAATTTGAACTGGAAATTTCGCCGGCTTCAAAAGGGAGCGAAACCGGCGCGCCTAACTTCGTATTGTACCGCTATCACTTACTTGATTGAGCGTCGTCGGGATGATATCAGGTGTCTGCGGCAGCATCGTCCCGGGCGTTCTGTCGTTCGCGAGCACACGAGTCAGAGCCATTTATTCACCCACGCGAGCATCGATGTACAATAGAGATCGGCGACGAGAAATCGCGAAAAAAAGAAAAACACCTTGACGAGAACACACACACTGTGGGATCGATCACGGTCCGCACAACGTTCGTCCTCCTCTCACTCTCGCCCTCTCTCTCTCTCCTTCGTCCGTTCTCACTGCTCGCTTTTCGTCACTATTATTTCTATCGAAACTACATTCGCGCACTGTTCGACGCCGCGATAGCGATCGGGGAGCTCGCGAGAAAGCGCCGGCCGAAAAAATCCTTCTCGAACGAGCATCGAAGAACGCTGACAGCGACCGGACGCGACCGACGTTCCACTCCCGTGAAGTTGTGCGCGAGGACTGACTGTGACTGACGGATCCGGGCGGTGTAGCTGCGCGAGCCGAGCAGCGCCGAGTCTCGGCGGAAACGACCGATGACGCTGTCATCCCTTCTACGCGCGCGCGCGCGCGCGCGACCTACGTCAGGAATTTCACGAATAACAATAACACCGATTGTTATTTAATCAAATATGTGTCAAATGTATGTGCATTTTTCTTTTTTATATTCTCTGTATTTCCCCAAAAACTTCGTATTTCTGCGAACACATGGTACCACATTCTAAAAGAAATCGAACTTTAATCTTGTATATTTTTATTTAATATTTAATTTCTATTGTAAATTAAAGAACATACTGTATTGAGAGAAAAAGGGAAAAATTATATCAAATATTCTTTAAGAAATATTAAAGTTTTACAATTATTAATATTATTATTAGTGAAAAATGTAAATATATATAATTATTTTAAATCTTTCTTAATTCTGTGATTAAAAAGGACTAGTTAAAAAAAAATTATTATATTTTTTTTAATTACAGAATTAAAAAAGATTTAGAATAATTATGTATTTAAATTTTTTTACATTTTTCGCTACACGGAGAGAATTTTCTTTTAGAATTTAGATTCAAGAATTAAGAGTTTCTCTCTGACTAATATTTACCATAATAAACAATATTAATATGTATATAATAAATTTTACTATGTACATGGTAAAATTAATTAAACATATTTTATTATATCTTATTGTAGTAGATATTAATATATTTTGTTGTTAAATATTAATCACAGAGAAACTCTTACAAAATTTTTCCAATACCATATTGTCTCATAATTACTATAATTTTCAGGGTAAATTTTAAAAAATTCTTTCTGTGTATTTAATATTATTATATATGCAGTTTTCTTTTGTAATTTTTTGTTTGTAAAATCTCATTCGTATTCACCATATAACGGTTGCAAATAACATAATGGTCGTATTTAAAGCTGCCTTGCAAATGACAAATTCCTTTCTCTCCAACAACTCCCGCGTTCACCTAAGTAACTGTACTCTTATCTTCAATATATGCAATATTCTTGGATCGCTCTGTCTTCATATTCGCATTTTTCTAACAATTGTGCATTGCATCTTTTAACAATTTGCATTGCATAGCTTATTTCCAAGATTTATGGCAAAATATTTACGGATAAAATAAAAATGTGTTATTAAATATTTATTAAACACTTCCTATAATTTAGTCAATACAATTAATGGAAAAACAATTCAAGTTTTTGAAACCTATACTATTAAATTTTAAATACATTTTTTGTTTGATGAGGTTTTCCTCCAAATATTTCTTTTTAATTTCCTTTTAATTTATATACATATAAGTTTCCATAAATTTTTGTACGTAATCTACATTTTATATTTGTAATATAGGCTAAAAATAACGTATTAGCGGTATCTGTCTTTTTAATCTGCCTGAAGCAGCTTTGCATAAATATGCGAAAAAAGGGTGTAGAAAGTAGAACAGTTTTTTATTTATCTGGAAGAAAACGGGAATATAAAGACGGGAGTGTCATGAAAAAGCGAAACAAAAGGACGCGGTTAAAAATAGTGGACCGGTTACGTCAACCGGTCCTTCCAAGGACCATGGCTGATTATATTATTCTCTTTTTCATGGAGTCTCCACCAAGAATGCTTCGAAATGTCAGAAACTGAAGCAATGTATCTCGCGCTATCGCACATTCACCTATTATCCATGGTATAGTAAAAATTTACGAAAACATCGAACAAGAGATACTTTGCTGTGACTGTCGTTATTTTTCTATAAATTTTACGTGCAGAAATTTTTCCTGAATTTTTAATGCCACTTTAATTGTGCTATTATCAAAAAACGTACTTAAGAATTTAATTTAGTTGTCAATTAAATTTGTTACATGTGAACGAAAGAATAAAACATTACTATGTTGAAATCATAATAAAAAATATTGTATTCAAGATTATTTTATCTCATCGAACATTATATAATAAATAATATATTGGACGATGATAATGAAAATAGCACATATTGATAAAATTACAAAAATCAAGCGCATTTTTTGCATAAAAATGTTAAATAAAAATCGACTAATAGCAAGACGAAAATTCCACGTGTCACACACCTGTTTATAGCTATGATAAGTAAAATGATTACATCATGAGATGAGTCACAGCGAATAAATCTCCGTTAACAAATATCACCGTTAAATGATACTTTCGTGATGTTTCGAGTCGTCGAATATACAAATCTGGTGACATGATATAAAATATTTTAGTGATGTTAGTTAATTTTCTCTCAATATAACTTTTACTATGACTCTATACTTGTCGGAAATTATTTTGAGTCATCTGTCAAAAGCTAACGTCTACATATAAAATGTTACCTTCAAAGTTAAACTTTATATTTTGCAATTTAATAAGTGTGATACAGAAATACATGTTTTTCCCTTTAAGAATGCATCTCTTTCTACTCTCTTATCCGATAAGAATATTTACACCTGAGAGGTAACACTTCTAATTATCACTTCTTAGCGTCATCCTTCTTTGCACACTGCAACACTATCGCATTCACAAAATGCCTTATGTTCTTATCAGTGTATATTATTATTCACGGATGACAAGAGACTAGAAATCTTATCCTATGCAAATATACATTATATCTGGAAACGTATTTTATTAAAGCTACATGTGAAAAATATGTTAAGGAAGCGTATTCTTAATAAGTATACGTGTAATTTCTAGAAAAAAATTAAGAATATTAATTTTATGTTAATTAATCAAGAAAAATGTTCATATTCTACCCTGTAAAATATTTATGCGAATAATATTTTCATATTCACTGCTAGGCATGATTTTACATTATGTGATATGGCTATTTGATTTATATCCTTTTTTGTTTTATGTACGAGGGAGGGACTAGATGGTTTTATTTAAATTATTATGCACGCTATAAGTCAGTACGATATTTTTTTTCATCCTATCTTGAATGTATGAACCAACGGTTTAAATTAAAATCGCGGGCCACTTTCCTCGTGCAACTTTCTATGACCTACATCCCATGTTTCTACCAACAAGATCGCCTTTAACTGCATCATCGAACGCTCAACTTCCGGAATAATTAACAGTCGGCTTCCACAGATGACTGAATCTAATCCAGTCTTTCGTTTGCATATCCATTTGTGTCGCAATGATTGCAAATTTTAGTGCACTGAATGAACCAGAAGAATGGCTTCATCGGTTTTGTATATAGTTTTTTTTTTTCGTTATTATTGTGCAGCAAGTAAAAAAATATTTGCAAGAGAACAAAAGAAAAAATTTCGATTATTTATGTATTGTTTTTAAAAATATTGTGTAATTTTTGCTATATACTTAATTATACGAGTGTCGTCAATTTGTATAAATTTTATAATAATTTGTTTTAAGAAAAAAAATTCTTTTTATAATTATTATTTAATAAATTAATATACTGCGTAAATCACTGAGAGACACGATTGTCGTAATAATTGTTGTAATAATAGAAAATAACTGTTTGTACACATTAACAAAACTTCTGGAAATTCAAATTAAATAAATAAACGACGAAATAAATATTTAGGGAAGCAAGCGCCGGTAAAAGTGCATCCATAAAACATGATCATCCCTGATGAAAGAAGACAGAAGCCGAAGAAAAAACCAAGCAACGGTGATGAGGGTAAAGAAACCGATCTTTCCACCACATGTTTTTTTAGTACGAAGGGGAAAGTTTTAGATTGCAAAGGGTCGTTTTCACGAAAAGGCGCGAGAGCGAAGTTGGTAACGTGTGAGGAAAAAAAGCAGAAATGCGTCTTTGAAAAACGACGCGTCGTACGAATGAGCTCTGGCTTCGCTGCGGAGGTGAAACGACCTCGGTCAATGTCGAAGGTCGTTGCCCGACGTCGCGGCTTCAAGACGAGTATCGCTTTTCCTTATGTAAACGTAATTAAAAGTCGTCGTATCGCGTAACGATAGAAAGTTTAATTGGCTGCGATGTGGCCATGAAAATTCATGACTTAGCATTTTCCAAGTTTTCATCAGATCATAATTCGATGTAGTGTTTTAATAGAAATATAAAGTGAAATTTAAATCGAAATTTAATTAATAGACTCTATGGAATATGATTAGAATGTAAAAATAAAGTTTGACAAAATTTCTGATGAAATAAAATAAAATCTTTGACAAAATAAAATAAAAATATTATCAAATTCCGTAAATATTATAATATAAATAAACCAAATAATTGAATATATTATTGTCCAAAATAATAAAAATAAAAATTATAAAATAAATAAAAATTACATTTACAGTTTATAAAAATATATGATTCTTAACTGTGTGATCAAAATGTATGCTTTGATATGACTTACCCTGCAGGAATGTAAATGTGTTGTTGAAGAGTTTGCAATTGCATCCTCGAAATAGCAAAGTGTCCAAATATTGATATAACATCGCGAACAAAGCGGTGCTTCATCAAGAGAACGGGAACTTATTCGTTATCTCACAACATTAAACTGTCAGAACCTGAAACAACATAAGAATGATACACATTAATAACGTAGATATGTGTGTCTTCGGAATTGTATTCTCTCAAATATTTTTGGAAAGGGAAGATATTTTTATTTCGATGTGTGTGAACACTTTACTTCTAAAATTGCAGGATATATGGTATATCGTTTTTTTTTTTTTCATCAATTATGTACGTCACGCGACACTTTATTCAATGTAATTGATTTATCGGCAAAAATACTCCAACATAAGAAGCAAGTTGAACGACATCGTTTCATTCTTGTGTCAGTGTGTCTTCTTTTCCCTTCATCTCGGCCCACGCTTCGTCTCTCATTAATTTGCACCACGTTTCTTTCATATAATTGAGCCGCATACCAATTCACAAGTGCTTTTAGGCACGAGTGCTTCCCGTATTTTCGAGTGGATTAATCTCTTTTTGTCCGATGAACGGTGAATGGACCAGTCAATGCCCTTTTCGATGGGGAACGTTGCTATAATGAAATATCGATTTCCGAAAGTAACGTTGAAACGGATATACGTACAGAATTAATATGAACTGGTCCTCCAAAAAATATGTAAATACAATTTCGCGATTTATGTTATATTAATATACCCGACTCATTCCCAGAGGAAATTAATTCTCGAACAATTTCTCGTGATTAATTTAAAAATCGGAAAGTCAACCTATATTAAACGAAAAAAAATTAGCAATTATTATATGTAACTAAATAATGCAATTTATACTGTAAAATATATATAAATACACAGTAGGAAAATTTGTGTTTTCTGGTTCAAAACGGTTTCCGTTAAAATTTTTGTGTTAAATATTCAACACTTTCATGTGTTAATTTAACATATTGCTTAATATAACTTAAATTGTTAAAACAACTGAAAAAATAACACAATATGCATCTTTAATTTTTATGCATTTTTAATTTTACACAATAAATATGTTCTGTTTTATTAGTGACAAGATTCATCTGTTAAAATTTACAGAATAAAACGTTGATTTTTTTTATTTATAATATAAGTGGGGATGATAAAATCTAAAATTGACATATTTTTAATTAATTTTTACATTAAAACTATGTTAATTTTACACAAAATTTATTTAAAATTATTTAAAGTTTTGCATTTATTTTGTGTTAAAATATTTCTGTGGATCGTTTGGGACATGTGATATCTGTTTAACATAAATTTTTCAACTGTGTATGAATCCATATGTCAAAATTTTCGATTGAAATTAGTGACGAACGATCGTGTCAGCTCGTGTCATCTCTTCTCCCAGGACACTTCTATCATACATATCGTTTCGATAGACAATTCTCGATGCGGCAAATCGCGGAGGGAATTTCTGCGTCATAAATGCCGATGAAAATAAATCCCTGGGTGCTTCTTCGCTTCCGCGAGTGCAGTTTGCCTTGCAGATTCGCGAGATACGTAGACACGCTAGGAATTGCATTTAGCAGTACCGAGATATCACGAACGCGAATCCGCTCAAGCATCAATTATCCCCGTCTGCTGTTCTCGACTGTACTTATTGCGGGAAAAAAGTGAAATATTATGCAAATGTCGAACGAGAGGACGATCCTCTTTGCGTGCGTAAGACAGACATACCAAAGCAAAGCGGATACTTCGATAAAAAAGAGGATTCTGATTCTTTCAACGCTAATAACTGCATGTTCTTTTAAGATTCTTATTAATAAAAATTGTACTCGTTAAAACTGTGGACTCATCGCAGACTTCCTTTATCAAAGTTTTACTAAATAGCTTTAAACTCCTGCATTGTAAATTATTATTAAATATTTTCTGAACTTCAAAAGTTATAATGTTAATGTAAAACTGTGATATAAAACGTGTGCTCTTGCATTATAAATTATTACTAAATATTTTCTTAACTTTAAAAGTTATGATGTAAAACTGTGGAGATATAAACCTATAATTTAAATTTTAATTCATAATCTAAAATAAAACAGCGAATAATTTTGTTAATCTCAGAGAAAAATCATTTGATAATTAAACATAAATTTTGTTTTCATAATTACTATGTGTTACACTTGTGCTCTTAGGAAAAAATATTACATAGTTAATAAAAAAATATTTGATTCAGATATATTATTGGAATATTACGATAGAGACTCAATATTTAAATTAAAGAGAACATAGTGAATAATTTTGTTAATCTGAGAAAATTTATTTTCATAATTACTGTTATATTTATGTACTCTTAAGAAAAAATATCACATATGTTAATAAAAAAATTGGATTCAGATAAATTATTCGAATATTACGATCGAGCATCAAGATTTAAATTAAATGTTATTTATTTCGCGATATCTCTTTCGTATCATCAGAAACTCAGGAAATGGAGTTACATACTGAAGGCTGATGATGCACTTAAGGCTCAATGCAAGGCGTGAATACATGCACGTACATCTGCGTATGTATCATCTTGATTATCGCTCGATATCCACTCCTCGGCAAGTGTTAAATTCGATTTCCTCCGAGCTCGTTTCAACCATTAATTTAAAAATTTCGTTCAATTAAAAATTATTCTCCCATCCTGTGCGAGTTCAAGCGCAGAAGTCAGCTGTCATCTCGCGTTCAGACACTGTCTGTGCTTCTTAAAATAGTTCGGAAATTTTCGTGAGCTCGTTATTCACGTTGTTGTTCAACACTGTAACAGACACATAAATATTTTATATGAGTTAGAAGAATATTAAATGACTTTAAATTTAAATTTTTGTCGCTTTGTTCGCGACGACTTGCGATTAAAATTTAATAATAAACATTTATTTTCTCATTTATTTGATTCATAAAATGTTGAAAACCTCCTCTGCTCAGTCATCTCTTAAAATGATAAAGGGTACACCAGTCGCGTTTGAAACTCTATCTTATATGTCGAAGAGACTAAATTTGTGTGAAAGAAAATCCTCGATTTTCTAACAATTTTTCGTCTAACTCTTTATTGAGTAGACTAGCTAAGAATTATTTTTGGAATTCTCTTATCCGGGATAGCGCGAACGCAGTCCCGACTAACAAAAATTATACGTCCGAGATATCCACATTAGGGATATTCGCAAGGGTCAGCTCAACCGTAGTGCAATGGAAGAGCCTCGCCCTGGAGGAACCGCCTTGTTGATCACGGTAGCCTCTACGCCAGGTAAGTATGCTTTCAGTCGTTGCTCGCGCTCTTTTATAGTCCGATCGAGGTATTTCGACTGCGAGAAACTCTCACGCGCTTGCGCCGCGTAGCGTCAAGAATCCGAACTAATTCAGCCGTCCGCCCGGTTTCGAACCGGGTTGCCTCTGCGAAGGGGCGACCAGACACGAGTGGAAGGGATAAAGTACAAAGGGATGCGATTCATCAGAGCATCATTCGAGGATCCCGAAAGGAGAATTGAAACTGTCATTCATTCTCTTTCATATATATTTTTCGTTGTCAGAAACAAATGAAAATATATATAGAGATGGACAACGCGCGACATTTTGCGCGTTTCGAAAAAGGGCGAGGGATAAGCTTTATTGCTCGCGATAGGGAAAATATATGGAGTCTGCCGGAGGCAGGGCTGCTAAGATATTCCGGTGAATAAATTGCCGATGGCAAGGCCGCCAGTCTGACGTCGATAATCCCGCTGTCGGTTGCACCACGTGCTCGCGAATGACAGCGTAATCGCGAATCCGTGCAAAACCGCGTGTCATTTTCGCGAAAATCTAATTTAGAAAAATCGATGAAAAATGTAAAAATAATCATAATTTCCATTATTATCGATCAAATTAAAAGCGGAATTTGTTCGTTATTAAAGAAAAATAGTACACCTCTGTTAAAAAAATATCAAAAGAGAAAATAATAAGCTAGAAATCTCTAATTAAAGTTAGATTCAATCGAAGATGTGCAAAAATCTAATTTATTCGTGTGATCGATGAAAAATGCAAAAATGATAATAATTTCTATTATTATCGATAAAATTAAAAGCAAAGAGCAAAAAGAATTTTTTCGTTATTAAAGAAAAATAGTACACCTCTCTGTTAAAAGAAATGTATCAAAAGAGAAAATAATGAGAAATCTCTAATTGAAGTTAGATGCAATCGAAGATGTCGTGCATCCTCTCTACGTTATGTGCATACAGGTTAAAATTTAATTCGACATATAAATTGAATAAGTTTCTATGATCAAATGCAACTTTGAAACGTAATTCGCAGATGGAAGAATAATGTAAATTAATGTTATTGGATTTGATTAATTCTTCCTGCAAAAAGAGAAAAGATGATTAGAATTAAGAAATATGCAGTGTTGTACAGGTGACATATATTTTATGAATCAATTAATGATATTATTTAACTAATTATTGTATACAGCAATTTATTAATTACAGCAAATTATCGATTAAAAAAATGCCAGTTTCAATTGAATGGTAAATCTAAAAAATGCCAAGACAATGTCGTGATCTAAAATGTATTGCAAATAAGGAAAAATTGACGTAAGAAACATAAGTTCGCTGTAAAAAATTTTATATGCTTAATTACAGAATATTGCATGTAATAGAATTTCTTAAATTTTAGCGTGTATGTCTTGTAAATTTGCCATGAAACACAGCATAGTGTAAAGATTCTGATTACTTCGTAAAATCCAAGAATTAGATTGCAATCGGATTCTTTATAAAATGTTGTTGAGTAAGATCTTCATGAAATGCTGTGTTTTATGATAGGACTATGCGTTTAACTTCGCGCTATGTGTATGCACATGCTTGCTAAATATTGTCTTTATCGTTGATAGCGTTCATAAATACAAGAACAAAGAGAAAGATCCGAGACCGATTTCATATAGAAATTCTTTGAGCAATTCTACTGCATCGCAAAGTAAAAAGCAGAAATGTACAAAACCAAAGTCAACGTACTCGAGAGATGGCTCGAAAAATGTGAAAACATTGTTTGATGAATCGAAAGGCTGCAAAAAGTAATTAAATAATTCATTTTCACTGTAACATTTTTTAAGAAAATAATTTTTTGCGAACAAAGTTAATTATGAAATATTTATCTCATAATTAATTTCTACACTATAAATTTTTAAAAAACAATTAGTGTTGATGCATATACAAGCATAAAATATATATAAATCAGTTCTTTAAATTTAATATGTTCTTTTAAAGTAATTTGTCAATGCATATTATTAGAAATAGTTAATTAAAATCAGTAAAATCCATATCAAATCAAACAGTTTTTATATCTTATTTTGTTACATTGTAATATATATTTCTTTCAGTAAGAAATGTCATGCCTCGCAATCGACTTCTGGAAGTTCGATTTTGACACGTTTACGACAAAAATTACGGTGAGACATAAAATAATAAATTATGCCATGTATCATCCATTAATATCGAGAAATATTCCATCTCATGTGAAACAAGTTTGACCTTGTTTTTTTTCTATGTTCTTAAGAATCCTTTCTTCCAACTTACTGACTCAGCCAGATTCCTTCCTAAGCTAAAATAACAGCATCTTTTTCTCACGATATACTAGCACCTTAATATATTAAAACTTACATATATAATACATCTGTACTTTACATATTAAGTAATATTAATATCTGGGAATAAATATAAGCATAAATAAAGAAATCAAATATAAAAATAAATATATAATAAAATACATAAAAACTCTCATAAATGTATTTGAGAACATATTTGCAAAATGATTGTTTTAAGCAATCATATCGTTAATGTTTACCTGCAATAAAGAAGTTAAAACTACATCTACATTAGAAACAAACATTTAATAAATATTGAAGTATAATAATAACAGCATATTTATCTTATTTGTGTGTATAGCATGAAGAACTTGAAATCGAGCACGCCTGAACGAATTTCCAGCAGGTCCCAAAACTATACGGAGCAAATATGTACCTGTGGCAAAAGTGGTAGAAAAAAAATGTGTTAAAAAGAATCTTTAAACCAAATATTTGACACTTTAAGTGGACTCGTTCACGAATGTCACACGAATTTTTGACACAGGGCGTCGCGATCCTCAGAGTGGAGGTTTGCACAAGCACGTGAATTCGCAGAATGTGTCTACGGAGAGGAGCAAGAAGAAAAGAAAAAAATCTCGTCGCCGACATAAAAAGGCTTCGAGGAGAGAAAGTGATCAACCGAGGCATGACTGTTTCACGACGCTTTGTGTCTGTGTGCGAGGTCGCAGTTCGAATAAGCTAAGAGCTTGTAAATGCACGTCGTCTCGTGAGATTCTCTCCAGCGATCACGAATGTTGCTGCGTTAAAGTTAATTTATAATTAATAACAATATAAACATTGCATTATTTAATATTACTGCAAATCGTTAATATAATTTAACTATGTATATCGGAACAATATTTTGAACTCATTTAATAATTCATTTCTTTGTAAATATAAGAGCTATTATTTTTCAATGAAAAATTAAAAATAAATTCTATTTTGTAAAGAAAAAAGAAATCTATAAAAGCAGAATATACAATACAGTATAAATAAAATAAAATGAAATGCAAAAATATTAAGAACATGAAATGTGTTGCGATTTTTTAGGACGGACGAAAAAAGAGGAGGAATCGACCTACAAACATATTAAGAAATGACATTCAAACAGGCAGACACACTGCAGATCCATCGACCAGTGAAAGAAAACATCCGGACGAATTATTGCAAGAAAAAGCAAAGTTAGCGTGCTGAAGTTAATATTTTTTAAAATACGTCTTTTAACGTTGCCTTTTTCTTTCATTAATGAAATTTGCAGTGAAGAACGCAACGTGATTATCAAAGGATTAGACACTATTCGCAAAGGAATTAACAGATTTGGTGCACACACAATTAAAATTTTTGAATCTAAAAATTAATATTTTAAATAATCAAAAATTCAAAAGTATTTTTTAAAACTATTTGGTACTTAATTTAATTCTATGTGTAACCAATTGACAATCACATAACATTTTTAATAATATAATTTTTCTAAATTATTGAATCGACAATGTTCATTATATGTCCACATAAAATAAAACATCTGAAAAAAATATTCAAATTAAAAAAGAAATCGTGTATCATGAATGCAAAACGTATTGTAGAGCATTTTCTCATAGGATTTTAGGTTTTATACTTGCTGGGCCAAACATGCTGCAAAAAAATGATATTCTGAAACAGATCATATTCGAACGCCATTTCTTATCGACAATTTATTCGGTAATATTAAAGAATTCACAAATGTAAAGTAGTCCTGTGTGAAATTACGCTGAAACATATCTCAAATTCGATACATCAAGGAAGTTTTAACCTGAGACGAATAGAGAATCATTAATTGCATTGAGTATGTTTATGTACGTGTTTACATGTCGCTATTGCAGTCTAATACATTGTATGAAAGTGTACCATTTTATCTATGAAAACTTAAAATAATAATGATACAAAATTCGCTGTTACTGCTTCAACGTAATAATCTACATTACTTATTACGAGGTCCATTTATAAATACAGTACTGTATTCCAGTATACATTGCCAAAAGAGGCAGTGGTCATGAATCTATGTCATTATGTTATACTCCCTACAACATACATATTTACTCATACTCATTCGTGACTTTCGATTAATGATTATTATCAGTATATGTATATTCACACTACACATATAAACATATCGCGCGTTCCATTGAAACAAAATAAAAAAATATTCTGTGTGGACACATTCTACATGATACTACATAATCTTTCCAAGAAGCGTCAAAAGCTTCGAACAATCTGCTTCGATGCGAAGTTCTGTGTGGTTATCAGGCCGAGGCAAAGGCTCGCTGAGAGTAAATTAAGCTATTATATTACGTACGCGTGAGGAATTAGTCTCAAAACACTGGAATGATCGGTCACTTCTCGCCGATCGATATAGAGTAATCGGTTTATCGTCGTAGAATCGAACGAGGCAACGTTCTCCCATCGCGTATTTATTCAAAACATAGTGCAAAACTCGAATGAAATCGAATTGATTAGGCTAAATGTGTTTAGCAAGCGCTCGAGTTTGGCAAGTCGGCGAGTAAATATCTCATATCGCGATATAATTATTATCTTAGGATCCAATTTCGGAAGAAAAGACATATAGATATATATATATATATATATAGAAAATGCGAATTCACCGCGAACTGCGCCTGCTAGAATTTCGTAAATTTTTCTCGATCTCGAACTGTCGTACATCCGCCCTCTGCAAGAAATCTTGTCGCTCTAAGTATCCGTCCTTGCCTTTATTATGAGTATTGATTTCCTCCTCTATGTTTTCCTGCTTCTTGAAGTTGTCCCAATCTAACTTGGACTTTTCTAATGTACTAATTTTGGCCTTTTTCCCTATCTGTCCCAGAACAGAGGAAATACCACCTAATCCGACACGCCTAATACCGCCTTTCACTCGGCCCTTGTTCGCCTCAGATGCGGATTCTGATGGTTTTGGGGAATTCTCCGCGGAAAGCGATAATCTGGCCTCTGCAGAATCAATCGATACCTCTTTCTCAACTTTCACCTCCTCACCAGCGAACTCAAAAACCTTTGTTATCTTGACTTTTTCCTGGATTTTTGGCTTTTGTACTGGTGGTGATCTCTCGTTCGATCTATTGATTGTATTTTGTGGCTTTGGTTTTGACACAACAGCTATAAAATAATATATTCTAAAATTACACTTTTGAATTCTTAGGCATTATTATTATTCTTAATCTTATTATTAATCTGTAAATAGAATTATATATTTTTATCGATTCTATCTTGTAATTTGTTGTAGACATTAAATCCAAATGTACCTATATATTAAAAGTTTCAAATACATCTTTAAAGGTAATAACATTGCACATAGGATAATATAAAACTAACAGATATGGAGAATCTAGTTTCTTATCATTGTACTTTAAGATATGAAATTCTCCAAAATATACTATTCAATATAATAAGATAAAATTAATTAGATATTATATAAAAATATGTGATATACATCTGAAATAGATCGGCAATAACATGAAATATTATATGCTCTATTATGCCGCTTTATTAAAATTTTGTATAGTTTGTATAGTTTTTACCTGTATCTTTCATGAAGTCAGCCCAAAGAGAATCAGCTCTCTTTTTTCTTCCTCTTCAGTAAGTTCTTTTGTCTCTTTTTCTGCTTCTTTACTTTCTTCCTCTGATACTTTCGATTTGTTTTCTATAATTTTCTTGCGCTTTATACTCTTTCGACTTTTAGATCTCTTTTTGCCTTTTCTTTGCCCAGTTTCTCTTTTGTTCTCATCATTTTCATCCTCTGGGCCACTTTCAACATCACCTTCAGATTCTACTTCAGATACTTGATCACTGTCAACACCATCAGGTATGTAATCTTCGTCATCTTCATCTGAATCTGAAGGCAGCTGATGTTCTTCCGACATGTTCAAATCTGAAAGATATAGATAATAGAGTTATTATGTATGTACATGTATAAAAATATCATATTTTTATTATAATTTAATTAATATATAGATATACATATATGCTTTGTTTGCAAAAAAATTATTTCATAAATTGTATTTTTTACTTTTCTATAAATGTCACGATTGTTATATACGATTCTTTACAATTAATAATATTGATATTTCTATACATAATTATAAAGATTATCTTTTATAGATCAAATATAAAAAATATCACATATTATAGTCAATGTTATATTATATATACAATAAATTAAATATTAAAATTATTAAGAAACATGTTGTAGCAAACAAATCCATACTAAATCCACATTTTTAATTTATACTCTGCTTTTTCATTATATAATTCTAAAACTCTTTCAGAGGTCTCCTAAATTATTAAATTAACAATAAAAATTTAAACAAAAAAATCTGCAAGACACAAGTCTGCATTGACAAAAAAATTATTAATATTAATATTAAATTCTTTCGCCCCAAAATATTCAAACAAAATATTCCAGCTAAAGATAGATTTTTTGAAAGAAGCGGTAATTAAAAATTCGATCAAATCACCACGTTTTCTTGCACTGTCAACATCGCGAAACTTAACCTCTGCAATAAAGTAAATCTGACGTTTCCACCGAAATTACGCGCGACAATTTAATACAATTTCGTGTCTCATATTCTTTTGAACAGTGAGTGATCGGTGCCAAAAAATTCCGCGAACGGACGTCGATTCGCCTTCCGGAAATGTCGTTACATCGGGACGCGGTGGCGAATCTGGCGTGCGTCACCGCTCTCATGAATCGTCGTCGACGAGGGTCCGGATCGATCCCGCGCGACGAGGAGGCACCGACTGGCCGAGAAAATCGTGAAATACCTTGGTGAAACGAAGCCGCGATGCTCGACGACACGCTCGACTCGACTCCACTCGCAAATGCGTCTGGCACGCATCGCGGCGATACGCAACGACCCGATCGATGCGACCTCCTACGTCGACTTCGGAAACTAAACTAAAATGGCGGGATTACGTCATGCAAATTGAATCGTGCGCTTTTGTGATTAGCAGTGGATTTTATTTCAAGAGTCTTTTATGCGCGCACAATGGGGCACATTTTTATTGAAAAGTCTGCTAGATATTTTCTATATAAAGAGAGAAAAGAAATGTCAATATTTTTCAGCGATTTAATTATAAGAAGAGATATTTACTTCTGTAAAAAAATTTTTTATTTCGTAATTTTATTTAAAAAGATATATTTTTGATTTTAAAATAAAGTTGAGATTATCAATCATTTTTTTAATTATAAAGAAAAAATATATACAATAGAGAGTGATAACACTTATATGCAAAGATTTAGAAAAAATAAAATTTATAAAATAATTTTTCTCACAAACGAAACATACATTTATTAAATTTAAAATATTATATATTACACAGAGAGAATTTTTTCTTAAAATTTATCCTGAAATTCAGTAATCGTGGGACAATATGGTATTGGATGAATTTATAAGTTTCTCTGATTAATATTTATCACAATAAAAAATATTAATATCTACCTTAATAAGATATAAAATGTTTGATTAATTTTACTAAAATATATAATAAAATTTGAATAATTTTAAAAACTATATTAAAAACTTATAATAGCAAAAAAATGACTTAAATATATAAAATATTTTATATAAATTTTACTATGCAGTATAATATTTTTAATCTAGCTTAATCGTTCGTGCTAATTTTAACATGCAGCATGGTAATTTTCAGCTTATTATCAAACATAATAAAATTTGAATTTTGCGGTAAAATGTAACAAAAAAGTCTCTCTGTGTTTTTTATATGTATAATTATTAATATTATATATTGTATCATACGTATATATTATTATAAATATGACATACTTTTAGCAAGTATATACATAATAAATTGTCTATTAATATAATTGATCCTTGACTAACTGATGCCATTTCTAAGTTTTTTTATCTAATAAATTTAAAGTTGTCAAAAAAAAATTAGCTGCTTTTCGATTTAAGTAGAGGAGACGAAGATTATATTTCTGATGATTATTCTGATATATCTTATTTAACTTATTTGTTCCTGTATTATTTTCAAGTAAATTTTGATTGCATCTTGATTGCAAATAATAATAATTAGAATAATAATAACAACAAAATATCCTTGATATTTTGAATATTTTACGAAAGTATTGGTATCAAATACTTATCCAAAATATTCAGATTAAAATAACCATACTGTTGCCTAATTTGCCTTTACGTTTAAATGACATCACGAAACACGCGTTCACAATTTCCGAAAAAGGTCGCAGTGTCGAATTGCTGGACATCTTTCACGAAATTGTCGAGCAATAATTTAACGCCTTCTTCAGGATATTAAGTAGGATCAGTAGGGTCACCGCAACCTCATATTACAGGATCCATTTCGAATCCTAATTTCAACGAAACGAATGACTACCGGTTGACGGGGATTTCCAATGGATCATAGATCAGGCGACCCTTCTTTTCGGAGCAAAAGTCTGAATGAACGAGAACGAGAAGGGAACAAGCACATCTACGTATGTATATTGACGAGAAACAATTATACAAAATTAATATGAAATATTAGTTCAATGTTATGAACACTGGTGAACCTGTTTCTTGTACTGTTTTCACGTGCAAAAGTGCTATATTAAATCTGTGTTAACATGCAACCATCTGAATTTAGCATTAATATATAGCCATTTAACTTTCAGCTGAGGGTCTTTAGTTTCTTTTTCCTGCGCTTCCATCGAGAGGAAAGAAACCAGGAAGGATGTGCCAGGTGGCTGTTCGAATGCTGTGGATTGGATCAAGCAGCATCTCGAAAAATGAGATGAGACGAATGAGACTAGAGAGTTGGAATATCCGAAAGCTCCGCCTGGTTTTCGGGACGTCCCAAATCTCCCTCCCAAATAACATCTTCTGTCTGTCTGTCTGTCTCTCTTTCTCTCTCTCTCGATTCTCATGTAGTCCACCCTTCGAGAACTTTGACTAACAATTAGTTTCACGCCGGAGACGCGATCTATCGCGACGATCTGCTCTGCTGACAGATAGACTCGTGATCGCGTAAAAAAAGAAAAAAAAAAGAAAAAATTTCATCGTAACAGGTATCGAGCAAGTTGCATAATTAATTGCGCTGTCTGAACTCAAGTGACAATCATCATGATTAATAAGATTTTAAGTGCGTCATTTAAATAAGATTTTGTATTACTTTAGATAAGTGTCGTGTAGCTCTATTCTCTTCGATCTTTTGAACTTTGGCACAGTTGATTAAAGATAATTTCGAATTATAAGAAATCGAGTAGCAAATTACACCAGCTCGTCATCTCAGACCTAGTCACTTGTGTTCTTTTATAATTCTTGTGTTATCATATTCTTGGGTTTTTTTTTATTGTGAATGTGTGTGAGTCAAGAAAAAGAAGTCTCGATTTAAACAGTGATTTTTAAACAGTAATCAAGATTATTATTTTTAAGAACACGCGTTTATATTCCAAGTTGATGTTATAAAGTACAATATTTTTTAATGGTGACATTTTTTTCTTTAGTATTTAAATGCAAAATTCCAATTTGCAATCTAGGTATCCAAAACAGATTTTGATTGCACGACATAAAATTTTAAAAATTGAAAAAATTATTAAAGAAGGAAACAGCTTTTAGCCTAGAAATTTATCTAAAAGATTTTTCACTGTGTAAAAAAGAAATCGCACAAAAAGAAACTTCGTACTTAATACTTGTGCTTATTTAATTTATCTGTGTTAATTTAATTTATCTGATTTGTATATGACTTATCAAACTCTCAATTTGCTGTATTGTATTTTTCTTTTAATTAATTGCTTTAATAATTGATTGATTGTACAATCAATAGACAGGTAATTATGTGTTAGTGATCTTCTAAATTTCCGATAGTAATATAAAAACTTTAACACATTTTATCGATCGTTATATTTTTCGACTGCATAAACAGAGAAATATACACAGTAGATTTCACTTTTCGAAGAAATAAAATAAAATTGCACGGAAAAAAATTAGCAAAATAGCTAAATTTTAGCTGTCCCTATATTAAAACCTGAAATTTAGTTATCATGTCTAAATTTTAACTATGGTAACTAATATTTTTAGCTATATTAAACGGAGAATTCCATAGCTAAAAATATTACCTATCACAGCTAAAATTTAGACATAATAATTAAATTTCATGTATAATATAGGGACGGCTAAAATTTAGCTATAGTAGCAATTTTATTTTATTTCTTCGAAAAGTGAAATCTACTGTGCACATTCTTCTTTTTATACAGTCGAAAAATATAACGCTAAAGTGCATTAAAGTTTTTATGTTAATGTCGGAAATTTAGAAGATCACTGACACATAATTAATTGTCTATTGATTGTAAAATCAATCAATTATTAGAGCAATTAATTAAAAAAAGCGCAATACTGCAAACCGAGAGTTTGTCAGATAAATCATATAAATAAATAAATAAAATAAAATAAAATAAAATAAAATAAATTAAATTGCATATAAATTAAATAACATATAATAAGGGGAGCTGCATCCTGATTAAATTGCCTTGTTCAGTTTTTCACAAGCGATGCATCTCACAAGTTGCGGAAGCGTCGCGTAATTGCTGTTTCGAATAATTAATGATAGCTACTATAATTATAACATTGTATAATTAATGATGGCTATATGGTATAACAGAATGCCTCGAAAACGGCGCGTCTCGACATCGTCGTTGGAAGAATATCCTTCGGAAGAAAAATACATGAAGGATGACATAGAGAGTCGTGCGCCGCGAAATGCAGCGAATGCACGTGAACGAGCTCGGATGAGAGTTTTAAGCAAAGCCTTCGGAAGATTAAAGACGTCGTTGCCTTGGGTCCCGAATGACACGAAATTATCAAAATTAGACACTTTAAGGCTAGCTTCGACGTACATAGCTCATTTGCGAGCCGTTCTCCGAGATGACGGCGAAGCTCATCCTGAAACCACCAAGTCCTTGTCGCTTGCTTTAGTGAGTATCTATTCGTTTTGAGCCAAAGATTCAAATAATCTTTCTTTTCTTCTTAAAAAATGATACAAAGAATCAGTTACATTTTAATTCTAAAATCTCGAATTGATTTCTAGAAATAGAAACCAAAGAAAATATTTAATTAATAGTCAAAATTATTCGTTTATAGAAACATAGATTCAAATAATCTTTCTTTTCTTCTTAAAAAAAAAGATACAAAGAATCAGTTAAATTTTAATTAATTTTAAAATCTAAATCTTGAATTGATTTCCAGAAATACAAACCGAAGAAAATATTTAATTAATAGTCAATTTAATAGTCAAAATTATTCGTTTATAGAAACATAAATTCAAATAATCTTTCTTTTCTTCTTAAAAAAAAGATACAAAGAATCAGTTTCATTTTAATTCTAAAATCTTGAATTGATTTCTAGAAATACAAACCAAAGAAAATATTTAATTAATAGTCAAAATTATTCGTTTATAGAAACATAGATTCAAAATAATCTTCCTTTTCTTCTTAAAAAAAAAAAGATACAAAGAATCAGTTAAATTTTAATTAATTCTAAAATCTTGAATTGATTTCTAGAAATACAAACCAAAGAAAATATTTAATTAATAGTCAAAATTATTCGTTTATAGAAACATAGATTCAAAATAATCTTTCTTTTCTTTTTAAAAAAAATGATACAAAGAATCAGTTAAATAAAATCTTGAATTAATTTCTAGAAATACAAATCGAAGAAAATATTTAATTAAAAATCAATTTAATAGCCATAAAATTATTTGTTTATAGAAACATAAATTAAACGAAGAAGTATCATTTATCAACAATATTTTTTGTTTATAAAACATTTCAATATCGTATCAGAGTATTTCTAAATATAGATACAATCGTGCAAGAAGATATGAATCGGTTGAATTTCACGAATTGCGAAATTAAACCGATTTTCCTGGGAATTCAAAAGAGAGCCAAACTATTTCTCGCTTTTGCAATCAGACTTTCGAGTTGATAATTCTGTAAAATAACATCGAGAGACCAGGTGGATCCACTCGGAGTCGCGAGGCGAGCGCCGTCTTCGCAGTCATCCACTCTGTTTATGTCTGTCCAGGTGGATCGAATCACTCGAAAAACCATCTACCCACCCTTTGCCACCATTAATTCTAAGTTAGTTCCGTTGTTTGAAGAAGCGTGCCGTTTTCCGCTGCAAAATAGTTTCTTTCCTCTCTCCCTTCGGAGATCAAAGAAGATCTTTTATCTCCGAAAATATGTTTTCTCCACGGAAATTCAAACTGATATATATTAATAAATTCCAAATTATTAATTACAGTCACTAGTATTCATTATAAATTATGGAAATATCGACCAAACTAGCAGATAAAATCGTTTATTCAATTTCACGATGTTTCGATCATATGATTGTGGTCCTTTTCAAGTGAGAAAGTAAAATAATAACTAATCAACTCCTCTTATCTCTCCATGCAGTGTCAAATTATAGTAATATTATATAAGTCACAAATAAAAATTAATTAAAATCAAATTTAAAGTGAAAATAAGAGACTGACATAACATATCCCAACCAAGGTACGTCAGATTCTGATATCTTTCATATGCTGGTTTGGTCGATTATTTCCATAATTTATGATATATATTAATTAATTTTGAGACAAAGTGCATCAATGTACATAAACAGATTTTTCATTTATACGCAGTCTCTTAACCACAAACCAATGCGTACAATTTAATGAAAATTATTATTTCATGAATGTATGGAAATAATATTAAAAAATATATACATATAATTTGCGATGCAATCTAATCTAAATTTTTAAGATGTCTGATTTTACTTGCGAGTTAAATATCGATCTAAATAATACAAATCATTTTGATATTGCAGTCGTGGCCATTCGCTATTCAAAACAGCAACGCTACTGCACTCATGAACAACAGTTGCAACGTGTCCTCCTCGACATCTTCGAGCTGTAATCAGTATCGAGGACAACAAGCGACTCATGATCTCCAAAACTTCCATCATTCGGGCCATCAAAGCGTGTCGACACGCCATAATCTTCAGGGAGGAGAGCAAGAGTTCTCTTATTACTAACAACAAAAAATTCTGATAATCCGATCAAAGCTTGACTACTGCGAGTGATATCTACGAGAGGCGAGCATCAGCTGGGAATCACACGACTATGACGGCGCTGACATTTTCACGCCTTATTTATTCCAGAGTGCCTTATTCTACTAATATTTATTGATTTACTTTTAATGCAATTAATAATTATGTACATCTTGAGTGACGAGAAAATAATTTATCTGCCGATGACATTTTTATCTTTGATTTATAAGTCTTTTACGCGTCGAAGAAATGCATTCTACTTACATATTTTTTGTGCAACGAAATAAATTTAGAGACAGGCAGAGAGAAAAAAATATTATCTTTGTTTCGTGTGTTTTATAGAAAAAAAATGTAACGCAATGTAATGAGAAATCTGAAATTCTCGATTTCGGAGAAGATATTATACATTCGCCGGAAAATTATTTTCTTTTGTCACACAATTATTGCAATATCATGTAATATTGTAATCGTAATTGATACCAAAGCATATCAACTAGTCCAAATAAAATGTTTTTAAGATTTTCAATAATTTTCTTTATATTATATTTAATGCAAATGTTGCTTCTTTATATTATATTCAAATTACTGCATTCAAAAAAAACTTGTTAACTTGATTAAAATTTCAACTAAATATTATTTTGGTAAATGAACGCATAAAAATATTTTAATTAAATATAATATATTAAATTTACTAAACATATATATTTGACTTAAATACTAATAAATATTCAATTAATAAAACAGTAATTTAGTTGAAAGATTTAATCAAGATAACACATTTTTTTTCAGTGTGCTAATAATATTCAATGGCAAATAAGATTACTTTTATCACTAAAATAGAATAATTAATCAAGAATATTTTTATCACTCGAATTAAAAATATTTTCGTGATTAAATTTTAATTTTTTCATATATATTATATGAATGCAAGTGCATGTAAAATATGTATATCACAGAAAAAATTAGCCATCGTAGCTATAAATTTTAGCTATCCCAATTACACATGAAATTTAATTATGTCAAAATTGTAACTACGATAGCTAATATTTTGTAGTTATAAAATTCTCCATTAAACTGTAGCTAATAAAATATTCCTTATCATAGCTAAAATTTAGACATAATAACTAAATTTCAGGTTGTAATATAGGGACAGCTAAAATTTAGCTATGGTGGCAAATTTTTTTTTACATGACATGTAAAATATATGCATTTCTATGACTAGTCGATTGACATTTCTTCTTGGAGAAGCGCCGAATGACATCCGGAACAGCGCGGAGGAAGTGCGCGGTAAGGTAAGAAGGATATAAAGAAGTTCAAGTTAAATAAACAGTGCGAAGGGCCTTTTGTGTAAACCCGATACTAAAATAATATATCCCAACACGACGACAAAAATCGACTGGCACTAAAAGTATGGCTTAACGTCTCAGTGTTACGTCAATATACATTTTGAAAATTTATAAACAAAAGATAAAATTGTTCTCTCTCTTGCAGTTTTCCGATTTTATTCTTACAAATTTTTATCACACTATTTTTGCCCACCATATGTCAAAGAGGAAAAGAAAGAGGAAAATATATTTTTATACGCAGACAGAATTTTTTTAAAATTTATCTTGCAAATCATAGTAATCGTGAGACAATATGATAATGGAAAAATTTTATAAGAGTTTCTCTGATTAATTCTTATTACAATAAGATATAAAATATATTTTTATATGTTATTATATGTTTTTATATGTTAAGAAAATTCTCTCTGTGTATGTAATAAAAAATATCTTTGTATTTAAAGGTATATCTATATGTATCCTTTGTAAAGAATTGTAATATAAATCACGGAAAAAAATTAGTCATCAAACTAAATTTTAGCTGTACCTATATTACATCTGAAATGTAGTTACTGCCTAAATTTTAGTTATGATAGCTAATATTTTTTAGCTATAATTAAACGAAGGACTTGTCACTTAAACAATATCTAAAAAATATTAGTTATATAGTTAAACATGATAACTATAAATTTCAGATTATAATATAGGAACAGCTAAAATTTAGCTATGGTGGCTAATTTCTTTTTTCATGAATTATTGACAATAAAAGTCAAGGTAAAAAAAAAAAAATATATATATATATATATATATATATATATATATATAAATATCTCTCATATGGGTGCAGCTTTTGATTGAGACAATAGAACGAGATTGAAATAATGAAGAGGGAGATACATATGTTATGCGTAATTTCGATTAAAAATTACACAAAGAGAGAATTTAGTTTTCTCTTAGAATTTATCCTGAAAACCATATGGTAATCGTGGGACAACATTAATTGTGGTATTGGAAGCATTTTATAAGAGTTTCTCTGATTAATATTTATCACAATAAAAAATATTAATATGTACATACTAAAATTAATCAAACTTTTTATATTTTATTGTGGTAGATATTAATATTTTTATCGTGTAAATATTAATCAGAGAAATTCTTATAAAATTCTTCCAATACCATATATTGTCCCACCATGATTTTCAGGGTAAATTTTTAAAGAGAAAATTCTCTCCGTGTGTGTAATAAGAAATACTTTTATATTTAAAGGTACACTGTGTATCATTTAGATAAAGAATTTTAATATAAATCACGGAAAAAAATTAACCACCATATAGTTAAATTTTAGCTGTGTCTCTGTATTACACCTGAAATTTAATTATCGCCTAAATTTTCGTTAAACACTAGCTAAAAAATATTATATAGTTACCATAGTTAAAATTCAGGTTATAATATAGGAACAGCTAAAATTTAACTATGGATGGCTAATTTCTTTTTCATGAGTCATTGGCAATAAAAATCCAAGTAAAATATACACATATAAATAAATAAAAATACCTCTAATCCCAGCAAACACCAATATATAATTGTTACATTGCTATAATAAAACGGAATATAACAGGTAATATAACGTGTACGTTACATGTAACATCCATGTTAGTTGTAATTTCTCACTCATAGATGTAACATTTTAATATAACATATATATTACATTGTAGTTATATTGTAATTATATACCAAATAGCACATTGATGTATTGATAAGTCAGTGCTATCTTGGGATATAATGACAATATAACTACAATGTAATATATGTAATATTAAAAATGTTACATCTATGAGTGGGAAATTACAACTAACATATATACGTTACATGTAACATGCTTAAGTATATAACATTTATATATTGTGTTTGCTGGGATGTGAAGAAAAAAATGTGATTCCGATTGAAAGACACATATATATATAGCATATTCGCAAGGAAGTACCGAGGAACTTTGGGTCGAAACTTCCGGAAGTGATTTCGCGCCTTTTTTCACTCGGCATTGCGCACGTGCATATCTGCCAACTTCGCTTGCTCGAGAAATCAGGTACGCAGTATAGTATATATAATACATGCTCCGTGGTTGACAGGTTAGTATACAATATGCTCGGAGAAGAGCATAGAGCAACCCAGTGATAGTGTCTGCTTCGACGAGAGACGTGTCGAGGGAATCGATCACTCTCTCTTTCTCCTCGTATAGTGCCTGGTTTGAATACCCAACGCGTTGTTCCTCGCGCGTTTTCCATGATGTAGCTCCAGAGAGCCATCATATCGGGTTGACCGAAGAAGAAGAAGAAGAAGAAGAAAAAAAAGAAGAAGAAGAAGAAGAAGAAGGACCGTTGACAGGACTCGCTGAGACAGATCCCAGGTCCACAACGTCATCGCTCCCACATTTCGCGCCTCCTGTGTACGCGTACACGGGAAGACACACGTTCCGGGTGGACTGGGAACGTGGAGCCCTCGAGGGGCCAGGTGTCAAAGCAGCTCTCGGAGTCTTCGACGCAGCGTCAAGATGGCGCGTGCCACGAGCACAGCTGTTGTTTACCCACAAACCCGTGTGGAGCGGGCCACTGGCTCAGGCGGCCGCTGCTGAAGGAGAGAGAGCGCGTGCACGACTGGCTCCCCCGTCGTCGGGGACGATGGGAGCTGATGCTCGACGAATGAACGTCACGGAGTAACGGAGCATTCCCGAGAGCGCGGCGTGACGGCGACGTGACGAGGACGTGACAGCGACGACGACGACGAGGACGAGGACGAGGACGACGAGGTCGGTGGTGCTGGTGACAGCTGGTGACAGCTGGTGACCGAGGAAGAGACGGGAAGACTGAAGACTCGATGGAAGAGGCCCGAGACGACAGAAGCCACCCGATCAGCTGGCAGCGAGCGAGAGACTAACCCAGCTGCGTCCGCCATCGCTCGACACGAGGACGTCGACGACGACGACGGCGACGACGAGGCGTGATCGAGAGAGGAAGAAGCGGAAGCGTCGATACGGAGGGAGAAAGTGGCGAAGTTAGTTCCTGTCTTTGTGTGTCTTCATTTTGGCGCCATAAGTGAGCGTCTGTAGCTCCTTTCTTTCCTCGGTCGATTCTTGACGTCTCGTAACCGCGTTACGTAAAAAGCGCGAACGTGATATCGATGATATCTGCGCTCCCCCGGTCTCTCTCGCTCGTTCGAATATTGCGTATTTAAATATCCACGTGCTCACGCGTCGTCTCTGCGTGATTCTACTTGAGTTCGAGGTTAGGCTTAGTTGCCCGCATGAGTGCAACGTGTGCTGGAACGTGGGAAGTCGATGAGAACGTGTTTCAGGATCGTTGTTCAATTTCGATGTAAGATTTGGAATTTTGACACATCGAGTTATTGCATTCGCATTTTATTGTCGTTTGTATTTACCGCGATCTGTGAATGATACCGTAGTGTGTGAGTCATTGTATACCTTTATACCCCCACTTTCTGTCCTCGTGAATTCTAAATCTGTTGCTTTGTGTCATTGTGTCTCTTGGCAGCTTCCCCTTCGGTCTTTTAATCCATTTGTCATTGTTACTTTTAAGTTGTACTTCTTGTGCTCATTATGCATGTCGCAGAACATTTGTTGACGGAGCGTTTTCATTTAGTGTAATTTTCTTTCTTTATAAATTCTCCCAATTACATTCTTGTCAGTCTTGTCATTCTTGAATCTATCTTTGTTTTAATTTCCCTTTTCACGTGTGTTAATTTTATTTATTGTACGTACACAGATATCATCATGAACATCTGATGGCGCAGCATTTTTGATTAATTTTCTTTCTCTACACATTCTTTCAATTCTATTCTTGTCAGTCTTGAATCTATCTTGGTTTTAATTTTCCTTTTCACGTGTGTTAATTTTATTTATTGTACGTACACAGATATCGTCATGAACATCTGATGGCGCAGCATTTTGATTAATTTTCTTTCTCTACACATTCTTTCAATTACATTCTTGTCAGTTTTGAATCTATCTTGGTTTTAATTTTCCTTTTCACATGTGTTAATTTTATTTATTGTACGTACACAGATATCGTCATGAACATCTGATGGCGCAGCATTTTGATTAATTTTCTTTCTCTACACATTCTTTAATTACATTCTTGTCAGTTTTGAATCTATCTTGGTTTTAATTTTTCTTTTCACATGTGTTAATTTTATTTATTGTACATACACAGATATAATCATGAACATCTGATGGCGCAGCATTTTGATTTAGTATAATTTTCTTTCTCTACAAATTCTTTCAATTGCATTCCTGTCAGTCTTGTCATTCTTGAATCTATCTCTGTTTTAATTGTCCCTTTTTGTATTAATTTTCTTTATTGTATGCACACAGGTATCGCCATGAATGCCAGGACGCAGATGTTTGAACTGAGTATGGAGGGACGTCAGGTGGACGAAGCGGTGGCGAGTATATTCCACACTGTGCTCTTCCATCGAAGTCTCGGCAAATTCAAGTACAAACAGGAAGGCAGCTACTCGGTGGGCACCGTGGGATACCAGGACGTGGACTGCGACTTCATTGATCTCACTTACGTCTGCTGTTCGTCGATCTATCTTGACCAGACGCTGAAGCGCGAGATATCGGGCTTTTCGGAGGCTCTTCGCTCCACCGACAGCCCGGGTTCGGGTCAGATATCCCTAGAATTCTTCCAGAGAAAAAAGAGCCGCTGGCCTTTTCAACCGGAGTGCATACCCTGGGAGGTGTGGACCGTACGTCTCGAACTCATCAAGCTGGCCACCGAGCACGAACGGCAGATCTGCCGGGAGAAGGTGGGCGACCTGCTAACCGAGAAGATCCTGTACATCACCGAGGTCATGAATCGACATGATTACGTTCCAAAAGTGCCGAGTCAGGCCGAGCTGGATTTGATCTTCGACACTTCGTATCCAGACATACAGCCGTACCTTTTCAAAATGTCCTTCACGACCTCTAGTCCGTCGACCACCACGATGGGCAATACTATGAAAAAATTGATCAGAGAGACACTGTCCATTTAGTCGTTGTAAGGTATAGCTCTTAAAGTTTTAACGTTAATATGTTCGCGCGCGATATATAGCCTAGAGTCATCTGAAAGAAACGCAAAACTTGCTCTTATTTTTCATCTACGATACACAAATTTCATTGCACCACGCGATTTCAGATTTCATTTCAGATTTCTATTCGCAATGACTCTAATCTTACCTTAGCTGTTATTATGAGTTCCTAGAAAAGAAGAAAAAAAGATTCTAAATTTATGCTACGAAGAATGATCCGGCTATAGAGAAGCTACCCAGCGTATTTTGCCTACGTGGTAGAGTCTTATTACGGATTTTGTAAGCTCTAGTATCTCTTATAAAAAAAAAGAAGAAACGGAAATAATACTTCATACATCACAGGGACTTCCGCTGCTGTGTGTCTCTAATGTTTATATAGTACAAATGAACACAACACTCTTGTGACACTTGCTTTTTTTGTACTTTACTATGAACGTCCGTCGCATAATTTTAGCAGGATCATGTTAGTCACGTTTTACACAATAATACTTCGCGTTATACCTCTTAAAAAAAATCTTATCACTCGAGTCTCCCCCCCACACGCGACTTTAATCAAGGCAAAACGACATTATGTTCCTCTCTCGCTTCTCACTCTTTTTAAATGCTGTGTGTATTTACATCGTAGAATAGATTCGAGCGTAATTTCTCGATATATTTCTCGAATTTATCTTCACGCGTCGATTAAAGAAGATAATTTGATTTAGAGTAAGGATTTACAGAGAGATGTTAAGCCTCTAGTTGAGAAAAGAGCAGGATGTTTCCAGATACTTTAATGTCTAGTAGAATCCTTGAGAGCGATACGTCCCTTTTAAAAGGTCTCGTCACTTACTTACTACTCCCTTGACATACTTCTCCGAATACATATTCGGCGTTGTACGCACTGTTTTTCAGTCACTAATGTTGAAAGTATATATAGTTGTCCTGAAACCCCCGACGATAACGGAGAATGCTTTTCAATTATTTCGCATGTGTATATATACGTACATATACATTCATACATCATACGTGCATATATATATATGCACGTATGCGCTTGTCTACAAAATATTATGTATAATTTTTGCTTCTTAAATCTAACATTAGATTTCCGGCCGCCGTCTAATACTGAACTTATTGTTAGTGATATATGAAAATCATAGACGACCGAAATCACATTTTTTACTGTTTTAATTTCGCGGTAGAACAAAGCGTTAATTTGTGTATAATTATGGTGTATGGATGGAATCGATATTTTTTTGTGTTATTTATTTTTTTCGCGAATAATGATACGTATAAACGTCAGATTATTATATTATATTGACGCGCAGATTACAGATTGTTCACATTTGCTTTCGTCGAGTTTTAAGTTATTGTAATCAAAGTGTAAAATAAGTTAAAAAAAAAAGATTGTAATCGTTAAGCCGACACGCGCAAATGATCGAAGCGCGCCCTGGTGATACGAAAGAACCGCACGAAAAATCGCAGTCATTTACATTTTCCAAGACGTTTCGTGCCTTCGTATCGAATTTTTGATAGGGAAAAAAATTAATGTTGCTAGGAAAACTAACATATACCTGAGATCCAGAATATCATTGTTATTATATGTAATATGATAATAATGATAAATATCATTATATTATTTATTGACCACACACGCGAAGCATCTCTCATCTTATTAATTAGGAGCGAGATAAGATTTTTCTCTCTCTTTTTCGCGCGCGCGCAGAAGATAAATCTGTGATCCTTCTCGGATTCGAGGCGGTTTCGTTTCTATTCCTCGTAAGAAAAAAAAGAAAAAAAGCGATTGTAAATGTGTGTGTGCCGTTAACGTCGTGCGCCGTTTTTTTAGGAGCTCCAAGTTGAACAGGAAACGCGAACGTCGGACATCGGAACGTTTCGTCGGCGGCGACCCGCACGCGCGATTATTACTTATTGTACAATGTAAATAGTGTGTCCGAAACAAGAAAAAAAAAACAAATATGCCGCAAATCAAAGACGTCGCGTGTCGAGAGGGTCCTCGCACGTTCCGAGATCCGTGCATATATAAATTTCGGGCCTTTCCTACGACCAATCAACAAAGATATCACGACGCGTAGTGTACACATATAATTTACGAGTTAACGGTGTAGAACGAGAAGCGTAATTATTAATTAATTTATATATAATTAATCGTGTATCGTCTCTATTGCTTTCTTTCGCAATGTTCTCTAAGTAGTTTAATAATGCAATTGCAATCTAGCTAAATGTTTCGCGACGAATCGAGCGTAATGTCGATTCTCCTATTGGGGATTGTTTTTTTTTTCTTCTCTTGTCGATCGAAGAAAAGAAAAGGAAGGAAAGAAAATCACGCGGTGATCGTCGATAATAATTCCCGTCGTTTCCCGCGATTTTGTGAATTGAAAATCGACTGCAGTCTCTTTCCCTCGCACCATCCGGTATATGCCGTATGTACGATTGTAAAAAGTAAAAAAGAAAAATGATGATATGACAAAGAGAGACGCGCATATGTGTATAGGCGCAAATATATAAATATGACGTATATATAGAAAGAACAAAGGGAGAGAAAGAACGAAAGCATGAGCGAGTGTGTATGTGTAACTAGGATTTTGCGGATTTGTCAAATTGCCACAAGCTGTTATAAATGAATATATAAATATAAATATATTATAATAATTATATGTATTTATATTTATATAGCAAAATATAGAAGATAAAACCGAGACCTGTATATTATAAGCTGCGAGACAAAATGTGACAAAATGTGTAGTGTATAGCGAGGAAGATGAAATATCTGCAAGTTTTAATTTATCATGATGAGTATGCTGACGATAAAGGACTAATTATTAATAAATTACTGTATTTTATAATAGTGCTTTTATGAAGATATTCAAATCCCTTATTTTTCCATGAAGCCTATTTAATCTTTTTCGTATGATAAGATCATTTCCAATAATTTCATATTTTATATATTTTAGAGGAAAATATATAAAAATCCATGCCTTTGTGTTCAAAAAATATGAATAATAATTTTTTTTGTATAGTGACAGTACGCAGAGAATTAGAATTATCCTGAAAATCATCATAATCGTGGGACAATATGGTATTGGAAAAATTTTATAAGTTTTTCTCTGATTAATATTTACCATAGAACAAAAATATTAATATCTAATAATATAAAATATGTTCGATTAATTTTACTATGTACGTATTAATATTTTTATTGTAAATATTATTCAGAAAAACGTATAAAATTTTTAAATACCATACGCGATTACCATGATTTTGAGGGTAAATTCTAAGAGAAAATTCTCTCCGTGTGTAATTATATTTTATAGATATATAGATAAAATTGTATAAGGACAATTACAACAAGTATATATTTATCTATAATATTTATATTAAAATCTTTTAATTAAATGTTTATTATGCTTATATAATTATTTCTGATTGTAAACGTTTTCAATATTTATTTACTATATTGCTAAAAATATGATATTATTGTTTGAAGAGAGCAATAAGATACCAGATTCACATTCTCTGTGTAAAAATACATTTTATCTCTGATTAATCACTGACTCTTATATTCCGAGTAATTAGCAGATACCAAGTGTTAAAGTGCACGTTTTATCATGCCGTCACGTGTCGCGCTCTAACGGGTGACCCGTGAGTTTTCGATCAAGGCGAAACTTTATGCTCACCCGATACTGCACCGGGATTATCGATTATCGTAGCTACGGATTCTCGATTACTATCGATGCGATTGCGAAGCACGATACGAAAGAATGAAAATCGCGGGCGCGTATATAATTTCGTCATCTTTTACTCGTACTTTTCTGTCCCGAACAAATGTGAAATTTTTGACATACCGCGCGCCAGGAATCCGAGAAGAACATAATCGAGTTGAAGAATTTCTCCGTAATAAAATGCAAACGGATATGTGAGTTCGCCCTTTTTCTTATCCGCGAAACCGAAGCGCGCGGATCTTGGCGAACGATATATATATTCATTTTAATTTTATTAGATTCTGGAGAATAGAAATGCCCCTCCACGGTTTCGCGAGAATGCCAAGTATTTTTGACCGCTGCCTTGACATAACTCGCGATGCCACGTGTTCCAAACAGAACAAGATTGCGAAATATATAGCTGTTTCACACAATTGTTGGACGAGAATTGTTATTCGTTGCCTTCAAATAATAGTTTATTAAAATTAATGCATAAATTGAGACACACTACAACTAGAAAGAGAATACATAAGAAAAATGCATTTCAAGTTTTTATAGTACACTGTAAAACGCTGAGAAAAAGAGAATATCTAATTAGTGGTTCATTAACTTTTAATGAAGTTGTAGTTTATTCAGAGTTTTTTACTTTTGTGCCCCGTTTTTTATCAACTCAAGTGCGGTGCAAAAAGAAAATTAAGATTTTTTGTATTATGCAATTTATTTCATGTATATATTTTATGTGACATAGTTTGCATATAATAGCAATAGCGAGATAAATAATATGAATAATTCTTTTTTTTTTATAATACCTAAAAAATGTCCTCCCTCCCGCTGATTTAAGTATTATTACCATCTCACATATTTTAATCAAATTAAAATTTTTAATCAAATTACTCTATGTCATATAGATATTATTTTCTTATTTGCAAATTTAATTTTCAAAAATTTTAAAAAGTTACTGTATCTTTATAAATCATGTCTTACAATTAAAAATGTTTTACTAAAAAAATTCTTGCATTCTATATTTATCAAATTAAATTGCACACAAATAAATATTTTCAAAGAAAATTCTGATTTCTTAAAGCAAGCATGTAAAATGTAAGATAGTAATTTTGTTTAGATATGATTATGATATATTGCATATATCTTTTATAGCAATGTAAAATAAGCATAACGTCAACTATTAAAACTGTCAATAATTTTGACAGCTGTCGTTATATTTATTCCATGTTGCTGCACAGTGAGAATTTTCTCTTAGAATTTATCCTGAAAATCATGGTAATCGTGGGACAATATGATATTAAAGATTTAAAGGATTTCTTTAATTAATATTTATCACAATAAAAAATATTAATATCTACCACAATAAGATACAAAGTATGTTCGATTAACTTTATGTACATATTAATATTTCTTATTGTGGTAAATATTTAATCAGAGAAACTCTTATAAAATTCTTACTATGATTTTCAGAGTAAACTCTAAGAGCAAATTCTTTCCGTGTACATTCATTTAAAAAATCATAAAATAATTTATAAAAAGAAATAAAATATCAAGGATAAAAATATAATATACAGTAAATATGCAAATTTCTTTATACACGCGATGGATTATTAAAAAATAGTAATTAAAATAGTAATTTTTACTATGTACATAGAGTAAAATTAATCGAACATATTTTATATCTTAGTGTGGTAGATATTAAACTTTTTATTGTAATAAATATTAAGCAGAGAAACTTTCATAAAATACTTCCAGTACCATATTGTCTCACGATTATCACAATTTTCAGGATAAATTCCAAGAGAAAATTTTCTCTGTGTAGTTGTATGATATATTAAGTTGAAAAGTTATATATAAAATTCTAAGAATTATTTTTATCAACATGTACAAAACAAAGAATCTATGGACTATTCTAACTTTAATAAATCTAGTTTCAATAAAAAGATATAGTCAAGAAAAATTAAAATTGCAAATAAATAATTTATGAGAAAAACAAAAAGACAAAATCTATAAAATCTTTAAGTAAGACGATTAAAACAGCTTATAAGAAAAACAAAAATTATTTTTAAAAAATAGGCACACACATACACATTTTAAACACCCTTTAACTCCAGGGAAAAAAATGAGGCTGGTACTTTCCAAAATTATGCGAGAGGAAAATATATCGATATAGCGCTCCGGACTTACGCAAAATCTGACTCGTTTGATATTTAAATTTAAATTATGAATAATATCTCTCTCTCTCGATATTATTAGATAATCATAAATATCTTGGTGCAAAAGCATCGCGATCAGACACACGTGAACCACGCACACGCCTGCGCGGAAAAACCGCGTCGGGGCGAAGCCGCGCTCTAACGAAGCCGGTGCGCTTCCGATTTTCTCGCCTCTCAGTCACCGATAGGAAGCAGCGCGCGAACCGCCGGCGTCGCGACGCTCCGAGATGATTGTCGCGCGTCTTCCTCGCGTTCTCGAGAGATCGCCGTCTGGTGGTCTCGGCATCCTTCCGAAAATCGCGTGATTCGCCGATACATCGGACAATCCGCGAAGTAAATCGAAAACGTGACAGACACGTGTACATCATATATATTTTGAAGAAAAAAAAAAAAAAAAAAAAAAGAAAAATAAATAAATCAGCAACAAAAATAAAAAAAGACACCGCGTGATCGCGAGAGAATTCAATCTGACCGGAGGAGTGTCGAAGTGCATTGTATATGCACTTCTCTATGCACGCGTAACAGACGCCTATTTGTGTATTGTAAAAAAAAAAAGAGTCAATAATATATATAAAAAATAAGAAATTATACAAAGCGGATATATTATATATACGTATATCGTTGCGAGTATAAAATCGCGCGTGATAAATTATAAGAGACAGATAATTGCACGTAGAGGGAATTCAGTTTTGTGCGCATATGTGTGACTAAATATATATAATATATATTTTTCCGTCATTACATATATAATATATTTTTTTTTTTTCGTATGTGCGTGCCGTTTCATCGTTTCGCAAATCCTTCGAGGATGCGCGAGATCCAGTAGTTACACCGGCCTAAATATTTCGCGTAATCGCGCGCGCGAAGCGTCGCGACTCCGTTATATTTTAATCTAAGGGAATTTCGTCCCGACACGAAACTTTTGGTGGAAACGAGATCCACCGTCGACCTCATCCAGACGGAAGAAATAACCGCGGTTCGTCCGGACTCTTCAACAGGTGGCCGAAATCGATCTTGCACATGTGTATGTGCGTGTGTATAAGCGTGATCACTTTTCACAGTGCTTTTTGGGATGCGTACTTTTTTTTTGTTGACCCTAATTCTCCTATAAATTTCACAAACAGAAGGATATAGTTTCAAATTTGATACAAAAGTTTCATTCAGAAGAAAAGAAAAATTCGCTTTAAATTTTCTCCTCTTGGAGACTTTTTCTTTGAGTCACAAGAAATATATGTATATTCACTTGATTTTTGAGAAATTATTAAAAAGTAAAGCTGTATATACTATTGCATACGAAAAAAGATTCTTATATTTCTATATTCAATCATTATTAGTTATAGTTGTAACAAATTTATGCAGCAGAACGTTTTAATGTTGACTGTCAAATTAGATAGAATTATTTGACTGAAAGACTAAAAAGAGTAAAAATGCTCGCAAAAGAGTAGAAATGCAAAATTATATTTGCATCAGCTGTTTTTGCGAAAAAGTGACCCTTATGTCATCTTTCATTTTCTCATTTACATCTTGAAAAAAATATAAAAATAAAATTCGACATAAAAAGATGAATTTATCGCGCTGTATTCATTCACGCTCAATGAATTGTTCGATAATTCACATTGAAAGTGGACATTTTAACAAACGCCTCGGCGGTTATTCCGTAAACTTGTCATAATTGTTTCTCGATACTCTCGCCCGATCATATAGCCGCAACAAATTCATTAATATTCGCGCTCGCCTCGTAACACCTCGTTTCATCAACAAACTGTGTTCGTATATGTATATATAGAGCGCTTCCATTAATCTCCGATTAATACGCATCGCGCGTTCACGAGTGGAAAACTATTTCCGCTCCGTGTAATTTACAACCTTCCAACGGCGCGTGAATAAATTCGCCCTCGTGTAAAAGTTCAAAACATTCCGTCGGCGAATTCGTCGCTTCGAACAAAATTATTACTCGAGAGTAGAAAAAAAGGCAGATCAAAAAGAAAAGTGGGAATCGCTCTCAGCTTTAGAAACGCGTTCTGATTTTAAATGGCCTTCAGGAACGTTTGAGCTTTTTAAAATAGCTCGTCCGCGTTATACTTTCGAAAGCCATGAAATCGACGTGGCTATTGTGCGTGTAACCGTTTGAAAACGCTCTCGGAAATAATTGTTTGACAGCTCGACACCCGCCCAAGTTTGTCGAAAGTTTCGCCCACGAGTATACTCGCCAAACGGGTCATACATAAACGGCGCTCTTAATTGCTCCCTCGTGTTCTGTTTCTGGAAGGAACACAACCGTGGTTCCTTCCAGAATTGAGAGTTTTGTTTAATTGCCCAACTATCGTCGTTGTTTCTCTCTCGGATAAACACCAAAGGAACTGTTAATAATCTCGACACGTATCCATATTATAATATTTATAGTATTTATATTTATAATAATATATATAAATATATATTTATAATAATAAATAAATATATGTTTACAATAATATATAAGTATATATATATATATATATATATATATATATTATAATATTGATATTGGATAAAAATAAAATATATATAATTCTTGACATATACAGACAAATGGTTCTATCGACGAGAATTACATGTATGTCTAAAATCTATATTATTTAAAAAAATAATGCGACATAATTGTGTATTAATTCAGGAATAAGAGAGAGAGAGAGAGAGCATGCAACATCTTGGAAACGCGAGCTCATTGATATAAATATCACCGCTCGTCCATTCATAGAAAATCCGCAACACTTATTCACTGCCACCTTGCGAATTAATGGACAAGGAGAGGAAATCGGTGTTATTTCTAATAAAAATAATTTATGACGCTTCTCATTTCCGCACGAACTTTGCCGAGATGATTACATTGTGAAAAATATACAATATAAAATCATTAATAATCTTAATTAAACGCGAAAAAGTGTTAAAAGAAAGGGTGAACGCGCCTGATGCAAGAATTGTGTCGCGCTACGAAAAAAACGTTTTCCTCGAACTGCGTCCTGAAATTATTAAAAAAAAATCGAATCGCGCTTAAAGGATTATTTGGACGAACGTCGGATGACGTTCAGCTGCATACGCGTGCATAATCGATGCGAAGTGATTTAGCCCCGGCGAAGGATATCGCGAGGCGAAATTCGAGCTAATCAGCTTATCTCACGGGCTATAACTCGCTTATCAGGACCTTATCGCGCGGGATCGCGGTTCGACGTAAATGAAACGAGCTTCGCGAGAAATTAATTCGCATCCCCGGGATCGATGACGTCACTCGATTTCGTCAAGCCGCTTTGACGTCGCCGAGCCGCCTTCCTGGAGAACGGAAGACCTTCCTGGGCGAATTTAATTAAAACGCTCGATAATATACCCTTCTTCAGGATGCACCGATCAACAACACCGGAAATGACGAGCATAACGTCGACGTCGATGATACTTCAGTCGCAGAATTTGTCGACGCGCAACTTCAACCACTCGGAGGACGTCATGTCGAACATGACGGTGCAGACGATGTTCTGCGCGTTCTACATCATCATCTTCGTGCTGGGTCTCTTCGGCAACGTCCTGGTGGTCTTCGTCGTCGGGCGGAACCGGCAGATGCACACGGTGACGAATCTGTTCATCGCGAACCTCGCGCTCAGCGACGTCCTCTTGTGCGTCCTCGCGGTGCCATTCACTCCGTTGTACACCTTCCTGAGTCGTTGGGTCTTCGGACAGACCCTCTGCCACCTGGTCCCCTACGCCCAGGGTGTCAGCGTGTACATCAGCACGCTCACGTTGACCAGCATAGCCGTCGATCGCTTCCTGGTGATCATCTATCCGTTCCATCCGCGCATGAAGATCGAGGTCTGCCTGGCCGTCATCGTGAGCATCTGGATCGTTGGGTTGCTTGTCACCTTACCGTACGGCCTGTACATGCAGCTGGAGGAGACGTTCAGCTACTGCGAGGAACAGTGGCCCAGCGAACCGTTCCGCAAGGTCTTCAGCTTGGTCACGACGATCGTGCAGTTCGTCGTGCCGTTCTGGTCATCACCTTCTGCTACACCCTGGTGTCCATCAAGCTGAAAAACAGGGCGCGAGCAAAACCCGGGAGTAAGACGAGCAAGCGAGAGGAGGCGGATCGCGAGAGGAAACGACGGACCAACCGGATGCTCATCGCCATGGTCGCGATATTCGGTATCTCCTGGCTGCCGCTCAACATCGTCAACGTTGTTGACGACTTCTACTCGCGCGCCAACGACTGGTCCTATTACAAGCTCTGCTTCTTCATGTCGCACTGCATCGCCATGAGCAGCACCTGTTACAATCCGTTCCTCTACGCCTGGCTCAACGACAACTTTCGCAAGGAATTTAAACAGGTACACCGATTGTGTTCTTATCTTAAGTATACGCGCGACTTGTCTTTGTAATGTCTTCCATGAAATGGACGCCAAAAAATTGTCTTCATTTAAGAGGACAATTTTTCAAAATCCGGTATTCTTTAATTAAATATTCTTATTAGATATTCGTAATATGTGAAAGAATCTACATACTTAATGGGATGTTTTTTCTTGTTAGCGTATTATTTGGAATTATTAATCGTGTTAACAAAAAAGTCTTACAAATGGATATTTCAGGGTGTCCAGCTGACTCAATGAAAAAAATTCCCGACTTTTTTAAACAGGTCCACCGATTGTGTTCTTATCTTAAGTATACGCGCGACTTGTCTTTGTAATGTCTTTCTTGAAATGGACGCCAAAAAATTGTCTTCATTTAAGAGGACAATTTTTCAAAATCCGGTATTCTTTAATTAAATATTCTTATTAGATATTCGTAATATGTGAAAGAATCTACATACTTAATGTGATGTTTTTTCTTGTTAGCGTATTATTTGGAATTATTAATCATGTTAACAAAAAAGTCTTACAAATGGATATTTCAGGGTGTCCAGCAGACTCAATGAAAAAAATTCCCGACTTTTTTAGATTTTCCGAGACCAGAAACTAATTTTTTTCCCTGACTTTTTAGTATTATTTTTTCCAAATTTATACAATCTGCATTATGTACGATAATCGAAACAAACATGTCACTATAAACTATTTAAATAATCACCTTTTTTATTTATATTACATTCAATTTTTTAGTTTTGTCTCTATCAAACACATTGAAATAAAATAACACGACGATGAAAATATAAATTAACGAAATTTATTAAATAAAAAATTTCAAATCATTGAGACAAATGTAGAATAATGTGAAAAAATCCAGATAAATAGTAAAATTCCCTGACAATGCCCGGTTTTCCAGATTTGCCTGACCGCTAGACATCCTGCATTCGTTATTTATTATACATATATATTTAAATGTTACGTATATTCAAATTTTGTTATACATTGACACAACTAAATAGATATTTTTCCTATATTATTATTTGTAATATTAATTGATAAACTTATAAATTTAAGTTTAATATTAATTTATTTATTGCGACAATACAGTTGCAAAAATAAAATTGAAGAATATATTCTTAATTTAAGAGGATATTCCAAAAAGCACCACAAGAGAGAAAAATCCTTGTTAATTAAGAAAATATCTATTAAAAAGACCCATAAAGTATGCATTTTAAGAAAAGAATTTTTTTCGGTGTACGCGACAAATATCGAGACATATAAGGATGGATGTGCATTGAAACGAGGTGTCTCGAGAGCGAGAACGAGAAAGTAAAGTTAGATTTTCCCTTCGAAGTTATCGGATTATTCATTTTGTTGCTTCTACCTTTCATCCATCGGGTATACAGAAGAGTAAGCGGATTATTCTTTAGTTTGACAGGCTATAGCCGTGGCTATATTGCACAGATAAACGCGCTTTGCATAAAATCTACTTTCGTAGAATTGTACAATGTAAAAAGACGGTGCTTCTCGAAAATAGGATTTTCCAGCATTCTCGAAAATGCATCCGATGTTATTCTCCGTCTTTTAAAATCGTATCGGGACGTTTATTTGATTATAAAAAGCTTACCTTGCGGAAATACATAATAGAACCGTTTATATATAATATAATATTAGGTCGATCGGTCGCAATTTAATCAAAATTATATGGATGGAATTTCGCGATGACGCACTTTAAGTAATTGGGACAAGACTATTTGCATCGAAACTACCGAAACTATTAGCGGTGCGAGAATCTAATAGTTTGGCGATAGACATCTCTCTCAATCGCTATTAGAGGGAAATCAGCAAGTAAATTCTATTGCGTACGAATTAATTTGCAGTACGGCTGTTTTTCGCCTTCCTATTTGCATATTTGCGAAATCGACGAAGATGACATTGGACAGAAACAGTCGCGCACAAACCTGTATGAATGCTGCAACTTGCGTTCTGAATAAAAGTATTCGCTGTCCATTTAAAAAAAAATGCTAGTATATTGGCGGTTCAAGCATGTTCACATTTGCCGAGACGAGAATTTATGGTAAAAGGGTGGCTCGTGTTCTTTATTTTTCTTCCTTAAAGATTCCTTCGCGCGCTACTATTATATAATAAACTCGTAGAATAAAAGATTTGTACTTTGTAGCGATGTTTTATACTTTGCAATTCTTTCTCTCTCTCTCTCTTCTTTTTATTATTAGAAAATATAATATATTATGTCAAATGTCGCATCGTTTTTTATTTAGACGTGTATATTACTTTTCTTTTATATTTTTGTTATATACAATATAATCTCTTTTATATATATATATATATATATATATATATATTTATATTTATATATTATTATACTGCACAATTTTTAAGTTTGATTGTCCTACGAATTTCTTTTACGAAAATAGAAGAATAATTATCATTTGTGATTTATATATTTGTGTGTCTTATATAAAATATGAAGATGCAATTTCTTGATGTAATAATTGGAAGAAAATGTAATATAAGGAAACTTGATTATAAAATAATAATTGCGTTTATGGGAAGTGTTTTGGCATTAATAAGGATTAATTCTCGTACGTCATTTTTCTCGCGCTCGTGATACTTTGATTAATTCCTCTCGATTTGCATTGAATTATTTTTTAATCATCCACGCCCACGATCCGACTCGACTACGCCCTCCCATTAATTTCCGCCCTCAAGTTCCGCAATAATAAAAACGATCGTTTGACGACCGTTTCGTAATGACTTTTAGAAAGCTTCTCCATAAACTGCAATTATAGGATCGATTATTAATTTTGCCCGGACAGAAAATTGATTTAAACGCACCTTGTATACCTTGAGTAGGATATCATAGTAAATGAGATACCATGCAAAGTTAAACATCGCTCCCGATTGGTTTAAACACTTATCAGAGGTATATGTACCTAGATATAGAACATGAGAAAAATCGTGCTTGTCGAGCACAAAGCTAATTAATATTCTCAAAAAAGCAAAGTTTTTAAGAGCAAAGTTCTTAAAAGCTTCTTTGTAAAAGAATATTTTAATGACTTGAGAAGACGCTAAGTGCTTACGATATGTACGCAATATTTAACTATGATCGAAAGCAGTTGATCACAGAATAATGGCATCAGTCAGTCATATGGAACTAGTCTGACGTGAGTTAATAATGATCAATTGTAGTTTCAAGAAGGCACATCGCAATAGATGTGCGAGATTATTAATGTGTCACAAATTTGACGTTATCGAGAAATCGTAAAATCCCGTTAATGTTTTTGTAGGTCCTACCGTGTTTCTCGAGGAACTCCAACGACGGCACTCCGAGGAGCAGAGAAGATTGCAAGGGCGACAAATTATGTAACGGTAATAATACCATGCAGGAGACGCTGCTGCCGAGCAACACGACGCGAACGCCGAATCCCGAGGGATGCGAGATGATTATTCTGGAGCAGACGACAAACATCTCGAAAGAGCAGGATCAGCCTTCGAGCTCCTCCAAGGACTTCGACGACGTGGCTCTGTGAAAGAAAAAAACAGGTATGCTAATATATGTTTTATTGTTATACACGTAAAAATACTTTGATACCCCTTAGATGGAGCAACTGTTAACATACTGCATAATGACGTTATCGTAAAAGAGAGAGAGAGAGAGAGAGAGAAAGAACAATCAATATATTCGAGATAATATATTCTTGCAATTACGGACCCTGTCTCTAATGACCTTTCGTTCCTGTCTTCTCATTTTTTCGTGTTATAAATAATCGTGTTCGAAATTAAAAATTATATTTCTCTTATATATGCAGGAATTTTAGAAAAGTTGTCTTTTTTCTAAGCAACTCTGCATCATATTTGTTTTTAATATATTATATATACAACTTATGAATAGGAATATTTTAAAAGGACAAATATTATGTAGATATTATCTACGAAAATGAGACGTAAAAAATAAATTTTAGTATTAAAACATTTTGATATCATAAGTTAATATACATATATACACAATTGAAAAATTTTTGTTAAATTTAACAGATATCACATATTTCAAACGGTCCACAGAAATTTTTATGTTAATTTAACGTAATACGGATATTATTAAATGGAGACACAAATACTGTGTTAATATTTAACACAAAATAAATGCAAAACTTCAAGTAATTTAAAATAAATTTTGTGTAAGATTAACATAGTTTTAATATAAAATTAACTAAAAATATGTTGTTTTAGACTTTAAAACAGAGCATATTTATGATGTAAAATTAAAAATAGATGCACATTGTGTTATTTATCTTTTTTCAGTTGTTTTAGTAATTTAACATTTAAGTTCAATTAACCCACGAATATTTAACACAAAAATTTTAACGGGGACCGTTTTTAACAAAAAAACACAAATTTTCCTACTATGTATATATACTTCTACACCGAAAAAAAATTTAGTTAATTCTTATAAGTATTTATTTCAATACTGTCAAATAAATCATTTACTTGAAACTAATAATATTTATTTGATATAAGAAAATCCTTTTCCTGACAAATAAATATTTATTTGTTTCAAATCAATGATTCATTTGACAGTATTGAACTCAATATTATACGTAATTTCAACACGTCAATCTTTTTGTCGCTACTTTTCCGTAATATAGATAGAATGTCGACCACTTTAATTCTATCTAGCTTGCCATCGTAAAGTTTCGTTATAAGTTACGGCGCCAAATGGAGTCGGGACTTTCGACTTTGAACTTCCTCCGGGAAGTCTCGTAACAAAAATTCGATTTTTCCCTATCTATCTACGAGGCACTTTGATTCCACGTCACTCACATATTGATGCGACAGTTCTATGAAATTCTGCGGTCGCGACGACCGGCTGACATAGTAATGCTCCTACGTATATTATTCAGAATAATAAAGTGAAGAATTTCTCGCGTTTTCGCAATTTTTCGCGAGAGCGAGAAGTATTCGAACGAGGGATTTCCATCTTCCACGGCCGCGAGAAAGCAAAGCCGGAACCGCGAACAAAGATTTGGAATGTCAAACTCGTGCTTTTGAAATTTTCACGCGACAACGCGATTGCTGGGAATCGCGGCGTCGCGTTTCTCGTCTTTTTGCGCACTTTCCGCTGATTTGGCGGAAAAGCATGCTTTCCCTCGTATACGAATAGATCGATTTACGGTACAACCGAGATGCAAAGAGTCATCCTTGTACGTGCCGCGAGGCATCTTCAAATGAAACTGCGGATGCACCGAAAGAGAAAACTGCTACCGATATTTTCATGCGTTTACGCGAATATGTTTATACAGTACCCTCCATAAGTTTGGAAACACCTTACATTTTACAGTTAAAGAATTGCAATCTGTTATAAATAAAAATGTCATTTAAATATTTGTTAATTTAAATATATGTTTATTTTATGATTTATTCATACAAAAAATCTGCACAGATCTGTCAAAAGAATCCTCAAAAGAATTTTACAGTTAAACAATCGCATGGCAGCGATCTGTGTAGATTTGTTGTATCAATAAATCGTAAAATATTTAAATAACATTTTTATTTATGACAGATCGCTGCCATGCGATTGTTGAACTGTCAAATGTAAAGTGTTTCCAAACTTGTGAACTGGTACTGTATGCAATAAATAACAAATGTCCATTTATAAGACTGTTTTTCTTGTTATCACGATTAATAATATTTCAAATAATATACTGATAGAAAACATTCCATTAAGTTTATATTCTTGCATGTTACGAATATTTAATTAAAGAATATTTCTTCAGAGAATTTTTCTCTTAAATTAAGAGGATTCTTTTGACAGATCTGTGCAGATTTTTTGTATGAATAAATCATAAAATAAATATATATTTAAATTAACAAATATTTAAATGACATTTTTATTTATAACAGATTGCAATTCTTTAACTGTAAAATGTAAGGTGTTTCCAAACTTATGGAGGGTACTGTAGTTGGCAGTAAAATACTTTTACTAGAACAAGAGAACCGATATCTTTGTGAATAAATATATATATGACTTTTAGATTACTTGGGCGTAATGTTTATCGAGTTAGAAATTGCGAACAATATTTTTTGCAATATATTTTAAGGAAGAATATACGCGAACAAATATAAAAAAATTACGGGATAAAAATGTATAAGAATCATTCGATGGTATTTTTATACATGAATCAAGTTTTAAAAGCATATACATATAATTAATGAAATAGATTTTTGAATAAAAAAATATAATTCGAGATTTCACATGTTTTTATTAATTTCCTTAAAGAAATTCTTTAAATGATTTTTACTTTTAATCCATTCAAATGTACCTATATTTCTTTCTAAAATAAAATCTAAATAAAATCTAAATAAATTTTCTAGTTAATCATTTACAAAATAAATTAATCTTTATATTGTTTAATGACGCAAAAGCAGTGTATTTCCTCTTTATTTTTCCAAACAAATAAAATAATATTTATTTTACGCAAAAATAATATTATTATTACGTGTGTGTTTTTCTAACGAGATATCTAGAAAAGTAGCCGGTTTGCTATTTTTAGCAATCACGGTCTCTGTGTTATATCAAATCATTCGATTGCAATGTACATACAAACATTCTTACATATATATCTCCCTGCCAATCGCCTTCGCTTGTCACTAGGGAAATACGACGCGCAGATAGAAGCGAATAAAAAGTTCCTCCGAGAGCTTCGCGACGCGAGGCATTTTAGCATCGACATAACAATATGTTCTGAATGGGCGTAGTTCTCTGACCGTAAAATAGGAGAGAACAACGGAAAGAAGTTCGTGAACTCCAACGCGAACGGCCTCCGCGAAACCGGAAATGACGCGCCGAAAGTTTCCGCGAGAGCAAAGATGGGATTAATTCCACTTTCTCGAGGCAGACGTTCATATATTAAATTTTGCACAGGGTGTCCAGCAGACTCAATCAGAAAAATTTCCGGACTTTTTCAGATTTTCCAAGACCAGAAATTCATTTTTTCTCTAACTTTTTAGTACACTGTAAACAAAATTCGTTGACTTGACTAAACCTTTCAACTAAATATTATTTTGTTAATTGAATGTATAACAATATTTAAATTAAATGTGACATTAAATCTAACAAAACGTATATTTAACTTAAATACTAATATATGTTCAATTAACAAAATAGTGATTTAATTGAAAGGTTTTGTCAAGTTAATAAATTTTTTTTTTATAGTGTATTATTTTTTCCAAATATATAATTTGCATATATCTATATGATAAATCAATTAAATGTTAAATCATGAAATCCTTGAGATATTTTTGTTAACAATGAAAAGATTCGTTCGGAAGTTAAAACAAAAATTTAAATCAATTATACGAACTATTTAAATAATCACCCTTTTTGTTTATATTATATCAAATTTTTTAGTTTTGTTTCTATTAAACACATTAAAATAAAATAACACGACGATAAAAATATAAATTAACGAACACTATAGATGAATTGATTTTTAACAACACAAAAAATTAGCGTGCTAGAAGTCGAGGAAAAGTTTATATTTATTAATAAAAAATTTTAGAATAATTTAGAATAATGTAAAAAAATCCAGATAAATAGTCACATTTCCTGACTTTTCCCTGACAATTCTAAATTTATAAAATTCCCTGACAATGCCAGATTTTCCTGACTGCTAAACACCCTGTCGATGTATTCCCGATGGCTCACTCCGTTTCGGTTCATTCTTATTTTAAGAGCCGGGTGCAAGTTAAACTTGAAATGCGAACGAAGCTTCAAACTGTGATATTGAATAGTGAAATTGCTTATGCAATATTCCATCGTACGACGTCACGTTCCCGTCCGATGATTTGTTCTATAATAGATATATTGAACCAAGTCCGGTTTTCAATTGCGTTATCAATCGGTGAAGTAGAAAATATACGCGAGGTATGCGAATTGATATTTGATGGGAAAAAAGAAATAAGTCTAATTCACAGGGTGTCTGACATAAAGTATCACATTGAAAATATACAAGTAGCTCTCGTTATTTGGAGACGATTTTTCCTCAGCAAAAATGTTGAGAGTGGTCATTAATTTTTGCCATTATGTATATCTTTATAATTAAACTTTAAATTAAAATTTTATTAAAGTAAACTGTACTTGAAATTAATTGGAGAATGCGGTTTTGTTAATATTTTATTTCCACAAGGTTTAATATGAAAAACCCTTTACTTTCAATCGCTTATAACTCGAAAATTATTGATGCCTCAATATGTTTGCTGAGGAAAAATTGTCTCCAAATGACGAGATTTACTTGTATATTTTCGATGTGACACCCTGTATATCAGAGCCAAAAACATGATTTTCATTATTTTAAACGCTAATTAATCTATAAATATATAACACCGAAAGAATTTGATTACAAATTATTATTTTTATTATATTCTTTAAATATTTTTCATCTCGTAATAGGAGTCCTTAAATATGAAAATAAAGAATTAATAATAAATCTCTTTGTTTCTGTTACTGAGGAATTAATAATCTTTTGCAGCAATTGCTGGAAATT